TAAAAATCTAATAATGGATTTTAACTCTTTGAAACAAAATTTTTGTATATATATTTTATGATTATATTATCATTATAGATGAATGTATATTATATCACTATGATATTTATCAGGTAATAAAGGGTTAAAAGTCAATTAAGCCAAATTTGTAGGTTTTCATTTAAATGTTAGTTGTCTTTCATTTTAAGGACTCTTTAGCCATAACTATTTCAATCACGGCACACATTTACAATCGCACATAAAATCAATTGATTGCGATTAAACACTTTAAAAGCCAATTGCAGACTCTTTTCACTTCTCTCCGCTGAGATCGGTTAGTCCATTAACCTTATTCGGTAATTCATGGCATCGCCCACACAATGTGATCATGAGCGCATAAACATAAACAACTAAGCCAGCAAATCGTAAACAAAAACAAAACAGCAACAACAACAATAAAGCCAAGCCACATAATGGCCAAAAAAAAAAAACAAAAAAAAACAAGATCGACAAACCGGCAGCCAAAGCAATGCACTTATGCGTTGGCCCAAATGCCTGGCTTGGCCTTGGCCAAAAAGCTGATGCAGTTGCGCATTTTGTGGGCCAACTGCGTGCGAATAAACCAGTAAAGTGCGTTCCGAGCAGGAAGCTGATTTCGATTTGGCTTTAAAGCTGCGTAAACTTGAACTTGCAACGCGCTCTAGGAAATTGTCGCTGCGGCTGCGTCATGCGTTTTGCGTGAACACGCGTTGAGGAACTAATAAAAAAGACAATTATAATAAAAAAAAAAAGTGAATGGCAACTGGCCGGGCAAGATTTATGGGCAATTGCTATTGGGAGTGGCTGCCAACATGACATGGTAACAACAACGGCGCCGACTGCCAACTGCGGCTACTGCGTGCGACGCTTGGAACTGGAGCTCGAGCTGGAGCTGGAGCTGTGGGCGTGGTGTCTCGGTCCCGGGCACGTTTGACACTTTTATTGAAGCGGTCCCGGTACGGGACTGGACGCTTATCGTGCTGGCAAACGACTGGCATGCCCATTTAAGCCATTTCGTAACTGCTGAAGGATGTCTGGAAGAGCTGCACAGCACACGTTCACCAGAAATGCATAACTGTAATTCAATGGGGGCCCAAACGTAGGTGTTAAGGCGGATCTGAGCAACCTTCCCCTTCCCCCCCCCCCCCTCGTATGCATACGATTATTTAAGCTGGCCGTATCAAGTTTTTCTGTTTTTGTTTTTGTTTTACATTACGTGAATTTTTCTATTAATAATTGCGAGTGCCGTTGATCAAGGCAAACAGCCCCTGCTCCACTTAAGCCTAACTCTCGTTTTCAGTCTCTGTAACAACAACAACAACAACAATAACACACAAAGTACAAGCAACAACAACTTGTTGCGCGGCAGTTGGCAACAAGTTGGCCAGATGTGTGGCCCCTGACGCAGATGCAGGCGTAGCTGCAACTGAAAAATGATAGTAGAGCTTATTCAACGCCCCCTTAAGCGTTTCCATTAGTTGATCGACGTTTTTACTGATTAATTAATGTGCAGCTGAAAGGAGACGTATTTGTTTTTTGGGTTGTCAAAATGCAATTTATCTTTGTCACACAGCCTTATGCTGTGCTGCTATTTCACGAAAAGGCTATAATTATAAAATTCTAAAATCTCTTAAAGTTGTATTTCCGTAGCTTATAAGCTTAGACTTGCAGAAATTTAAAAAACCCGCCCATCAAAATATCGGCCGTCTATCGAGCAGCCACCACAGTTTATAAACAGCTGTTAACCGTGAACTAGCTCTGTTAAGTGGCGATACTACTGTTTAGTAACGAGTAGTTCTGTTAAATGTAAAGCGGCACGTGTTGAGCAAGTATCGAATTCATTACAGATTGGTTTCATTTAATTCCCGAAAAACAATGAAGGTAGCAACGAAAAAAGCAAAGTCCCTGGACAAAACAAAGCCAAAAAAGGGTGTAATGAAGAAAAAGCCGCAGTCAGAAGAGCCAAAGTTGCCAAAGGCAACAAAAAAAGTAGTAAAACAAAAGAACGCCGCCGCAACAAGCAAAGATGAGAAGCCTCCGAAGAAGAAGGCGTCGAAAACGTTGAAAAAACAGGATTTGGAGGGTCTTAAAGACATAGATCCCGAGTTCTATGATTTTCTGAAAAAGAACGACAAGGAATTGCTAGAGTTTAACCTTATGGACAGTGATGATGACGATGAGGAGGAAGCAGATGCAGCAGAACAAAAGGAAGCTGAGGACAGCGAGGAGGATGATGAGAAATATCACAAGCCCAGCGATGATCTGGCCGTGGCAAGCGACGAGAGCGACTTTGAGGGCGACGAGGATGAAGACGCAGCGGCTGCGGGTGGCGCACAAAAAATAACACTTAACATGCTGCGCCAATGGGAACAGCAGCTGTCCAAGCCCAATGTGTCCATTGAAGCAGTGCGTCAGGTTATACAGGCCTTCAACTCCGCGCTGGCCAGCATTAGTGCCGATGCCGAGGGCGAACAGGCCAATGCCGGCACCTACAAAGTTGTTGGCGCCGCCACCTTCAACGGCGTCATCCAGCTGTGCGTGCTCCATTTGCAGCCAGCCATAATCCGTGTGCTGGGCGTCAAACCCAACAGTAGCCTGCCGCTGCACAAGCACAAGAAGTGGGTAAAGGTGCGCGGTTGCCTGCACTACTATCTGGGCGACTTGATACGCCTCGTGGAGCAGGTGTCCAGCTCGAACATACTTAATGTGCTGCTCAAGCATTTGCATCAAATGGCTGGCATGGTAGCGCCATTTACGGCGCTGGGCAAGACCATCCTCAAGCGTCTGATTGTACTGTGGGCCACGGGCGATGAAACGGTGCGCGTGCTGGCTTTTCTGTGCATACTGAAAATCACACGAAAACAACAGGTAAGTTGACGCCTAATCGTGTAGAGATTTTTTATTAACACTTGACTTGTTACACTTGCAGGCTACGATGTTGAATCATGTGCTGAAGGCCATGTATCTGGCGTATGTGCGCAATTCCAAGTTCGTTTCGCCCAGCACGCTGCCGGGCATAAATTTCATGCGCCGCTCGCTGGTGGAGATGTTCGCCCTGGACCTGAATGTTAGCTATCAGCACGCCTTTCTCTACATACGTCAGCTGGCCATACATCTGCGCAATGCGGTCATCCTGAAGAAGAAGGACAGCTTCCAGGCGGTCTACAATTGGCAGTTTATCAACTCGTTGCGTCTGTGGTCGGATTTGCTGGGTGCGACCACAAACAAACCGCAATTGCAGCCGCTGGTTTATCCACTGGTTACCATCGCCACCGGCGTCATTCGACTCATACCGACAGCGCAGTACTTTCCGCTACGTTTCCATTGCCTGCAATCGCTCATCTCGCTGGCCAAGGAGACGCACACGTACATCCCAATCCTGCCGCTCATTGTCGAGGTGCTGCGCAGCAATACCTTCAATCGGAAGCACACATCGGTGTCGATGAAGCCGCTGCAATTTACGTGTATCTTGCGTCTGAACAAGTCGCAGCTGGCGGAGAACGGATTTCGCGATGAGGTCGTCGAGCAGGTGTGCGGCCTGCTGTTGGAGTATCTGGCGCATGAGTCGGCCACGCTGGCGTTTAGCGATCTGGTGGTGCCTGTGGTGATGGCCATTAAGGCCTACCTCAAGGAGTGCCGCAATGCCAACTATGTGCGCAAGCTGAAACAGCTGCTGGAGAAGATTCAGGAGAGCAGCCGTTTCATTGAGCAGCAGCGCAGCAAGAGCAGCGTCACGTTTGACCTGAAGGACGCAAAGGCGGTGCAGGCCTGGGAGCAGCAGGTGCGCAATAAGCGCACACCATTGGACATCTACTACGCCAGCTGGCTGAAGACGCACGAGACGAAGAAGCGACGCCAGGCGGCCCAAATAGATGACATCAATGCGGACTACGATGTGCCCAAGCTGAAGCGGCCGGCGGCCAAATCCGGCGTGACGGTGCGTAATGAAAACGGCGAACTGGAGCTGTTCCCATCGGACTCGGAAGACGATGATGCAGCGGGCATACCCAATGACGACGACGACGACGATGAGGATGAAGAAGAAGCAGTGCCGCCGCAGCCGAAGAAGCCCAAGCGCAAGCCGGACTCAGAGCCGCGCTTGGAGCAAAAGCTGGCGGCGCCCGCAGAACCCGCTGCAGATGAGTACGATGAAGCCGCCACGGCTGTGGATATTGTAAAGGATTTAGATTTGAATGATTGGTGAACAACCGCATAAATAAATTTAAACTAGTAATACGTACATATATTAACAAATAAATTCAAAATACACAGACAACAATGTTTATTTTTTTTCTTCCGTCGGCTTCTTGCCGGGATTTATTTCGTAATCCTTGTACTTGGGATACGTGCCAATTGTCTCGCCCTCCACCTGCTTGGGCAGGGCGCCCGCGTCCTTGCCCTTGGCATACTGCGCATCCAGCTCAGCTGCATTGCGCTTCTTCATCTCGATGACTTGCAGATTCTTGATCAATTCATCGCGAGATGGCGGATCCTCACGACGACCACGCAGCCAGGCCTCCCACTCGGCGGTCAGCTCCTGGTCAAAGGCTTCCTTATCGGCCGGCTCGAACCAGCGTTCCTTGCGTTGGCCAACCACCCGATTTGCTGGTATCTCATAGTATTTGTTGCCAAAGTAGTCGTCGCCTTTGTAATCGCCGCGGTACTTACGCGGCAAGAACGAACGCCAAAAATTGGTCCAAATAATGCCGATCAGATCACGCGTGGGCTTTTTGTTTGCCATTATTTTATGTTTATTTTGTCATTTTTTTTTATTGAGGTTAGGTTATTTGTTATGACATCCAGCAGCTGTATGGAGCAGTGCTGAAAAACGACGGTGAGGCGAGTTGTTGGCGCGAAAAATTTACAAATATTTCAAAAACTCAGACGCAAATAATATTTCAGAGGGAGCAAATATGGACTATGCTGAGCCGTGCGAAAATGCCTTTTTCGGCTTGATATTGGATTTATTTTGTAATTTTAAAAATTGAGGTTGGATGTGACTAATTGTTATGACATGCAGCAGCTTAATGTGGCAGTGTTGTAAAACAACAGCGCGGCGAAACGAGCGCGCGCAAAATTTAAATATTTAACATTAAAAACTCAAAGACGCAAATTATATTTCAGCGGCAGCGCATACGGACTATGCCAATCCCTTGCAAAAACATCTAAAACATCCGAGCGCAAAGTGTGTTGCGTTTCGTTTTCAAAGTCCACATCGGCCAGGACCAGACCGACGCCAGCCGTGTGGGTGAAATACTCGCCCGACCAGTTGGAGGTGCCTATATACGCAACTCGCTCGGTGACCATGTAGGCATTGTGATTGACACGGGCAAAGGGTATCTTCAGCTGCTGCTCATCCGAAGGCACAATAAAACGGCGCTGCAAGTAAAAACAATATAAATTTCATTCTTGAAATAACACACAAAAATACTCACAATTTGTATATCTACTTGGTGGTTGAGAGTGGACAACTCCTGCAGCGAACGCAGGTAGTTATCCTCGTTGGGATCCGAATGCTTCCACCACGATATCAACAGCTTGATGGTCACGCCACGCTCCACGGCTGCTTTTCGTAGAGCGTTATCAATGGGCGGCCAAAACTCCAATTTGCCGCCCAGCAAAATCAGCGGATAGTAGTCCATGACAGCGATATGCACAAATTCCAGAGCCGTATCTATGCAGTTTAAGATGGCATCCAGATCATGGGTACGTCCGCTGGCCGTTAGCGGCGGCGGTGCACTGGATATATAGGCACGCATGGTATAGTTTCTGTTGACGCGGATGAGCATGGGCTGACGTAGATTGTATGTGGTATAATAGGACCATGGCCACGGCTTGGGCATGAGTGCATCCTTATCGCTGCCCAGCTGCCAGTAGGCCTTGAAGATCTTGGACAAATCGCGAGCCAGCTGCGGACAGTTCTGGGCAAGGACGCCCAGCTCCTTGACTTGGGTCAACGAGCGCCAGTCCATGTTTGCGCTGCCCAAATAGAAATGCTGTCCATCCACAATCCAGAGCTTTGTGTGCAAGGCACCACCCTCATTGGCCAGCTTGACGGCCACCACTTGAGCGGCGCCATAGTTGGCAAAGATTCGGGCATCCGCATGCCACGAGCTCTCCAGGCTTTTGTTCAGCGCAATGCGTATGCGTAACTTGGGCTTGCCCGGGTCCCCATTCGAGAGCAAGCGCTGGAATAGCTGCTCACCCAGATGGGTGCTTGTGTCATTCACATCCACCCCACGCAATGTCCAGTACGGAGCAGCTATGTCTATCGTCGCCTTTGCTTTGGTCAGCAGCAACTGCCACGCCTCGAAGGTGCTCATAAATTTGGGACTATCGTGCGAGTAGTTCAAGCCAATTGGTATCGTCTCCACCAGCTGGAGTTGACAAGGCAACGGCTTTTCGACGGGGGTAGTTTCGTCCATATGGCCATTTAATGTTTCCCAAGGCAACAGCAGTACAATTAGAACAAGCACAAACAATATGAACACGGGTATAATATAGCCATGACTACAGCATAAGGAGTTTTGCTCTGCCGCAGCAGCCGCGGGACGCCTGCAGCATGACGTAGTCGTTGACGTTGAGTTTGAATTTCGATTGAGATTTTCCGTTGGATTCCCATGTAACGGCACTGCGTGATAATCTACAGTTACTTCGGGCATACAACCACGTTTACGACGATCCGACATTGCAATGCCAAGCAGCCAAATGACCGCACATTTCTGGATAGTTCTAATTTATGTTTTTCCAACTAATATATTATTCGCACAGTTGTAACAAATGGGCGCAAACCCGCCCATCCACCCACGCAAACAAAACATAAAAGCAGTGTTGGCTAACAAACTATTTGTTGTTATCGATAACGATGTCACATCGGCTAGAGCGGAGTAGCGCTGTGCCCAGTTGTGGGCAATTGTCACAGTGACTTTTCTTAATTTAATTTTAAAACGCTGTCAATCAATATACACTTAGACAGTTATTCTTAACGTTTTTTTAGTAGGCTCGTAGCTATATAGTTTTGTATTATCTTATACAACAATTAAAAGACTAGTCAGTCGCTTTTATCGAAAAAACCAGTCACTTCGACAATTGTTGCTCATCTCTAATAGCATGTCACCCTCGCCGCCAGCCAGCTTTTGCGATTTGCGCTCAGTCTGTGTTAAAATCTTCCGGCTGAGAGGGCTGAAAATTTTGATGTTCGACTGGGTTATCATTTAAAGTCACCTAACAAAATTTCGAGTGTTTATAAATAGTTGAATATTGTACGAGAAATAAACGCGTAATTATGGCAGCGAGATTAATGAACGCACAGGCACAGGTACGTGTTGCCAAATAACCATGCCTTAATTCTGGAAGCGGGAGCCAGTGAATCCACACATACACACACGCACACACAGACACGCAAAAAAATGAAATTAAAGCTGATAACACAATTAAACTCCAATAACAATATATCATCAATTAAACGATTTATTTTCATATGCATATGAGCTGAAAAATTAAATGCAAATTGGAATTTTTCGCGTTGCGCTTTTCTAACCTAAAAACCAATCAAAAAGTTGTTACCTAATCGAAGTATGTTCTGGTACTTCTTTAAATTTTTCAAAAGTAGTGTAGAATTCATTGTGCCAGCCATGTGTGTGTCCGTGTGTGTGTGTGTTTGTAAATAAAATGACCTTTAAACGAGTAACAACAATTTTTGCAACAAATTAAACAACGTGCAACTTGTGTGTGTTTTTATATAAGCATCGTTATTCAACTGGCAATTGCTGCAAGAAGCCCCAGCCATATACATATCTTATTTGTTCTTATCTTGTGACACTTTGATAGTATTTTTAATTATAGTCTATATAAATATATATGCAACTGTATTACGTTTGTGCTTGAAAGTCACGCACTCTGCGCGTATTTTTCCATTTAAACACGGTAAACAGCTTAAAGTTGGAATCTCCCTCGCTCTGTGGGGGAGCAATAACATCTCCAAGGGGCAGGGCATTGGCCAAAAGTTAATGACCTTTTCACGTAATTAGTTGAGTTTGCTTTTGTTGCTATTTATTGATCACGTGAATTAGTACTGAATGCTTACATGTGTATGTACAGTGATAAGTCCCTTGAGCGGACATCCTCTGTTTTAATTAATGTCCTACATAGGAAAGTTTTTAGAGTTGTCCGTGAAGGAAAATCTAGTAAATTATATGAAATGAAATAATTAGTTCTTTTCACACATTTTTTTGTTTTTCTTGTAAAGAGGAGCGCCGCTTGTTATGAGAGATTTTACTGTATATTGTATAGATACTTAAATGATATTGGATCAAATGAGAAGCCCGTTGCCAATAGCTATCTTATCGGTAATCTGTTCGTACAGCTGGTCAATCAAGTTAATTAATAATATAAGTGCCCCTGATATGTTAATCAACTATTATTTATAGTGTGCCCCAATGCGAATCACAAGGTTTACGCATAGCATTAGCGATGGGCAAACAAATAACTCAACTTGTGATTTACGTTTAAATGTTTATGCGTTTCACTGCGCTTGAATTGAGTTGTATAAATGTTTACTAAACTGTAATTATCTGTTTATTGGCAATAACAGTCTTGTTAATGTAAATACCATAACATACAACTGTTTGTGACACATAAATATTATATCAAGCGCGCTCTGTTAAGTAGTCAACGTTTCTGTTAATATAATTGGCAGTGCATAACATTTGACTGTTAGTAGCAGAGACAAAAGCCAACGTATTTTCTCGTGTATACTTAACAGTTAGTAAAAACTTATTCAGTTTGTTTTAAAAGATCTTCACTTGCGTTTAGCTGTTAATTACAATTTGAACACTTATGTTAATGAACCTATATATGTTAAAGCCATAACATATAACTATTGCTAACATTTTATAGTCAAAAAAACGCGCAACTCACAACTTAAAATATTAATTTGTTGGGGGTTTGGTTACAAACTACAGATTTAAAATTTGAAACTATTTTCTGCTCCCTATATGCTTTGTTCTAATTATATTGAAACGTGCTAATTGGCCAACCACTTGTTTTATTTGGGTATAAACAGGTGTGCAAACTGGGCAAGCATGTTGTGGATCCCATGGCCCGTCAATTTCATGCTTCCTGCTATACCGCCTCCAAGGTGGCATTGTCAAAATTCGACTCGGACGTCTATCTGCCCTACGATAAGCTGACCAAGCGCCTGGATGTGGTGCGCAGTCGTCTGAATCGCCCGTTGACCTTGTCCGAGAAGGTGCTCTATTCGCATTTGGATGATCCAGCGAATCAGGAAATCGAGCGCGGCACATCGTATCTGCGTCTGCGACCCGATCGTGTCGCCATGCAGGATGCCACCGCTCAGATGGCCCTGCTGCAGTTCATCTCCTCTGGCCTAAAGAAGGTTGCGGTGCCCTCGACCGTGCACTGCGATCACTTGATTGAGGCGCAAATCGGTGGTGTCAAGGATTTGGCCCGTGCCAAGGATCTGAATCGTGAGGTTTATGACTTCCTGGCAACGACCTGCGCCAAATATGGCCTGGGCTTCTGGAAGCCAGGCAGCGGTATCATCCATCAGATCATCTTGGAGAACTACGCCTTCCCCGGCCTGCTGATGATCGGCACGGACTCGCACACGCCCAATGGCGGCGGTCTCGGTGGTCTGTGCATTGGTGTCGGCGGTGCTGATGCTGTCGATGTCATGGCCGATATACCCTGGGAGCTGAAGTGCCCCAAGGTGATTGGTGTCAATTTAACGGGCAAAATTACCGGCTGGACCTCGCCCAAGGATGTCATTCTGAAGGTTGCCGACATTCTGACTGTCAAGGGCGGCACTGGCGCCATCATTGAGTACCATGGCAATGGCGTTGACTCCATCTCCTGCACCGGCATGGCCACCATTTGCAACATGGGTGCTGAGATTGGTGCCACCACCTCGTTGTTCCCCTTCAATCAGCGCATGGCTGACTATCTGAAGTCGACAGGCCGCAGCGGCATTGCCGCGGAGGCCAAGAAATATCAGACCAAGGTGTTGACCGCGGACAAGAACTGCGAGTACGATGAACTGATTGAGATCAACTTGGATACACTGGAACCGCATGTGAATGGTCCATTCACGCCAGATTTGGCTCATCCCATTAGCAAGCTGGGCGAGAACTCCAAGAAGAACGGCTATCCCATGGACATCAAGGTCGGCCTGATTGGCTCATGCACGAACTCCTCCTACGAGGACATGGGTCGCTGTGCCAGCATTGCCAAGGATGCCATGAGCCATGGCCTCAAGTCGAAGATACCATTCAATGTAACGCCCGGATCTGAGCAGATTCGTGCCACCATTGAACGCGATGGCTTCTCCGAGGTGTTCGACAGGTTCGGCGGCACTGTGCTGGCCAATGCCTGTGGTCCCTGCATCGGACAATGGGATCGCCAGGATGTGAAGAAGGGCGACAAGAACACCATTGTCACCTCGTACAATCGCAACTTTACCGGTCGCAACGATGCCAATCCGGCGACACATTGTTTTGTGACTAGCCCCGAAATGGTCACCGCGTTGTCCATTGCCGGTCGCTTGGATTTCAATCCGTTGAAGGATGAGCTCACTGGCGCCGATGGCAAGAAGTTCAAGCTGAAGGCGCCGTTCGGTGATGAGCTGCCCGCTTCGGGCTTCGATCCCGGCCAGGATACCTACACCGCACCACCACCTGTAAGTTCAAACTAATCTTTAAAATTTCTTGTATCTAATTGGAGTTTTCCTCATAAACAGGTCGGCGATAGCGTCGCTATTGCTGTTGATCCCAAGTCGCAGCGCCTGCAGCTGCTGGAGCCTTTCGACAAGTGGAGCGGCCAGGATCTGACCGACATGACCGTTCTGATCAAGGTCAAGGGCAAGTGCACCACGGATCACATCTCTGCCGCCGGCCCCTGGCTCAAGTATCGCGGCCATTTGGACAACATCTCCAACAACTTGTTCATTGGCGCCACCAACATTGAGAACAATGAGATGAACAAGATCAAGAACCAGCGCACCGGCAAGTGGGGCAATGTTCCCGAAGTCGCACGCGACTACAAGGCCAACAACATTAGGTGGGTGGCCATCGGTGATGATAACTACGGTGAGGGCTCCTCCCGCGAGCATGCCGCCCTCGAGCCACGTCACTTGGGTGGTCGCGCCATCATTGTGAAGTCGTTTGCGCGCATCCACGAGACCAACCTCAAGAAACAGGGTCTCCTGCCGCTGACCTTTGCCAATGCCGCCGACTACGACAAGGTGAGCCGTAAAATATTTTAATTAGAGCCCTGCATCGAGTCAAACGAAACACTTTTCGGATAGTCGAACAATTACTCAGTCGAGCAAATCAAGACTTATATTGTTCCAGCTCGAACTGTTCGAGTTGCAGCTCGAACATGTTGCTGACTCGAACAGGTCGAACCTGGTTTGAATGAATATCTTCGGGTTCGAATCTCTCAATTTTCGGGGCTCTAAAATTACTTTAAATTATATTTGATATATACATATAAATATATATTTCTAGATTCAACCCACGAGCAAGATTTCGCTGCTGAATCTGGGCAGCTTGGCGCCCGGCAAGCCCGTCGAATGCGAGATCAAGAATGGCGACAAGGTGGACAGGATTAAGCTGAACCATACTCTGAATGATCTGCAGATTGGCTGGTTTAAGGCGGGCAGCGCTCTCAATCGCATGAAGGAGTTGGCCCAATAAGTTACTGACCCCCTCTCGAGTCGCCTCCCACGCATACACACAGCACACACACAAACACTCAAGACACGAACATATGCATATAGATACTTATATACGCCCGACATGAAACGCAAGCAATCAAATTATGGTATTGTTTTTTTTTCAATATATATATATATCTTATTTAATTTTTTCTGGCGAGTTGCTTTTAAATTTTAATTCAGTGTCGAAAGTGCTAATAGTTAAAGTTATGTAATCGAAACATAAATCGAGACATTGTGAAACAGTTTTATATATATACAATTATACATCTATAAATTATTATATTTAGTTGAACTTTGTTTTTGCAAATTTGTTTGCTGCGAATGCGAATAAAATTGATTGTAATATGTATGAAAAACAAAACGCGAACGATTTTTGATTTTTGAAGCGGACAATAAGTGACCACAAAATCCATCCCGGACATGTGCTGACCCATTTCCCCTGCACCCCAAAATACCCACTCATTAACATGTGTTTAAATTAATTGTATCAATTATAAAACTGAAAACAAAAACAGAAACTTAGCAATATATATTAAACGAATAAAACTTTGAAACTGTCAACTGTTTCTATAGATTTAAATGCTATATATATTAGCAATTGTCCAAATTTACAGTCCTATTACATTATGGCCAACGAGGCGCAGAGCTTAAATAGTTTCACTTCCGTCACAAACTTAACCTTCGCCACGCCGCGCACCAAACGCAGATGGCGCTTCTATTTCAAGCTGCTCGATTTGTACAGAAAGAACGAGTGCCTCTGGATGGAGAATCACAAGGACTTCTTCAATTATGATCTTAAGGCAGAGATCTGGCAACAGATCGCTGAGGAAATGACCACCACTGCACATCGTGTGCCAACGCCGGAGAGATGGAAACAACTCATTGTTAAATGGCGCTACAAGGTCCAGCTGGATCAACTGCGTCGACAGGAGGCACAATTTTTTAATAAAGTCGATGAGTTGCCACCAAAGTTGCGCTATTCGGATCGATTTCAGTTTCTGATCAAACACACGTTCGACCGCAAAAAGCCAGTCAAGAAAGATGTTCCAGCTGTAAGTATAGGGATTTGGGAATACCCAAGACAACAGATGGATGCGTCTCATAAAGCAGCAGTAGTGAAAGGGGTAGAAATAACAACCGAAAGTATTCCTGCAACAGCAAACCGGACATAGTCATGTTCCTCTCCCAACTCTTTAACTTTTCTTATTAAAACTTGGCTTGCAACTATCTTTTTGCTGCAGTTACATATTTTGAAGTCAGCCGAATCTCTAGTTTATATAGCTGTCTTAGGAACGATCGGTCAGAACCATGTTTGTTTGTCCAAGACACTAGATAATATAAAGCTCCTCCGATTTGACCACGATCTTCACGTCAGTGTCCTACATCCTATAGGGTTTCAGAGTTGCGCGCATCGCACTCGAGAATTGTGAGCTATACTGTGTCGTTAGTACATAGTTCAAATCCAATCAGCAGCGGATTGTGCCAAACAGCCAGATGGTCCCATATAAATGTTATCAACATCGGATGCTATATCACACAGCTCCTACAATAACAATCAATATTGTCATAGAGTATTTATTTATAGATTTATATTTTAAAAATAGAACTAGCCTGAGATTAGAAGCCGGATTCTCGTTAATTAAATAACTGATCATCATTTAGACAAGTAACATCAATCTAGAATTTCAGTAAACTAATTAAATGTATTCTAATATCTGCATTAAAATACTACTCACTTTTAGCCCGTGTCTGAAGCGGAAAGCGTGCCCGGGGAGAGTCTCGCAGCCAAATGCATGCGTTTGGGTCGCAGTAAGAGCAAAACCCGCACATTCTTTGGACAAAAGCTGCAAACGTTGGAGCACCTGAGGAATAGACGAGGCGGCACTATGAGCCTAACATCGGAGGCTTTTCATCGGCTGCCGTAGGGCAGAGCAGCCGGACGGAAACTGAAAGTGTGAACAATGAGCATTTGTACCTTCATAAATTTCGATAATGTATTTACATATAGCCTTTTCGATTTTATTACATTTCTTTTTAGTTTTTTTATTTTGTTTTTTTTTTTGTTTTTTAATCATAATAATTTGTTTTGCTGTGGTTTTTGCCATTTAAATAGTAAAACGTTTTTATATAACAATTCATAATTTTAGCTTACAATAGTTTTTCTTTTGTTTTGTTTTTCTTTTTTTATATATTTCGTACTTCTTACAATTTTCTGTTTTGCAAACACGATTTCCTCGAAAACATTTTCCATGCAAATATACAACGTTCAGAACATGGTTTTGCATTAATTTAATATCTGTATATATACATGTATATATATATAACATTTATGTGTGTGTATATATATGCATATATATATGTATATATATGTATAATTATGTATATAACTAAAAAATGCGTAAATAAATTGTTTTTGTTACTTATGTATCTTATGTGTTTTGTAATCTCCTTTTCATAAAAGGAACAAATCGCACATGCTGCTTAAACATGTTAATATTTCAATATACAGCAATAGATTATTTGTTGCCATCTGGTGTTAATTTCTTGTTTGTTGTTTAACATCGTTTCGCGTTACTTTTAATTACACACAATAATCGATATTATAAACCTGAATTGTTTTTGTTAATATTGTGTTGTTGGTTGTGGTGTTTGTTTTTTTGTTTTGTTTTGTTTTGTTAAAGCGGCACTCTAAATTGTATTTACGCTCTCCTCTCTCTCTCTCTCTCTATTCTCTCAGTTGCTCTCAGTTTTGCTTAATAGCTGTTAGCTGTCCCAGGATTTTTGGATGAGCAGCAGGCGGCATCTCTGCTATTGTCTCATGCGTCTCTTTGTTAATTACCATGCAGTAGTAGTTTATTGTTTCTACATATCTCTATTGCTATTGAAATGGCTGTTAAAGGTTTTGGTTTCGAACGCATCATTCCCACTCGGTGGTACCGGGCGGCTTGGCTGTCAAGTCGTACAGCACCCTCGAGATTCCATCCAATTTCGATATATCGCGCACTATTTGATTTAGAACCTGTAAAAGGTAAACAAGTCAGTTAACAATTGTTTATAAATTTATAAGCAGCCTCTTGATGACCCACTTGCAATGGCAGTTGAGCAGAGCCGGGCACAGCTGGCACACCAGTCATAAAATCGTTCGTTATAAATGGACGCAACACAACAGATCTTCTGCAGGAGGGCGTACGATTAATGGGATCACGATCAAAGTGTACGGGTATCAGAACTACGGGCATTTGTGAGATTTTCCGATACAGACCCGCTTGCATAATAATCTATTGATAAGAAATACAATTATAATCACAATCAACTTGCTTTATTTGGATGCTCACCTCATTGGCTATGGCATCCGCTTGCCGGAGCTGGGCCAGTACCACAGTGTTGAGCGTTGTGTGCGTTATATCCGTAATTAGATACTGCACGGGCTCGCCAAAGATATAACAGACACGGTTAACATTATGCAATATGCGCGGTATTATTTTGGCCAAAAATAGCATATCCTGCCAGTTGGGCTCCGGGCTCGTCGTTGACAAGCCCACTACATAGCTATAGGTGCGCTTATCACCCTGCACACCCACCGATCGTACCGGCAACAATGTTGCCTGTATATCCGAATTGGCAGAGATGCGCAGCAGTTCCTTTTGCTCGATTTCACTGGTGGCGCCCGTCACACGATTAATAAGCGCATGGTTCTTTTGCAGTTTATTCTTGTAGTCCACAATAACGCGCACAATGACCTGTGAACGTAGAAAAACGAGGATTAGTCGGATTTTATATGGGCCATTTTTCTTAGAAGGTGTCATGCCTGTGTCTCTGAGTAATCCTTTTCCATATAGGCTTCCTCCGCGCATAGCACGCGTATGGCTAGTCCAGGTCCGGGAAAAGGCTGTCGTTCGACCAATTCCGCTGGCAGGCCCAGATCATTGCCTAGATCACGCACCTCGTCCTTGTGAAAGTCACATAATGGTTCTACGACGCGTCCAGCATTACGCAGCTCCCTGCAAAATAGATATACCATACATTTAGAGAAAGTTGATATGAAATTTAGGGTATTTATCGTAGGGTAAGGTTAACACCAAATATAATTGTATCCTTTGGCACACGCAGTGCCAGCACTTGCCTACAACTTGTTGTAGGGTCAATTTCTTTAAAATGTTTGGCTCCAGTTATATGTTCCATATATAAACTGCTTCCGATATACATATGAATTTCTAATATTTTTCACAAGGCATACCAAAATAAAACAAACTAAAATATAATAATATCTTGAATATGCTAGCGCTCTACCGAATCAGATCCGTGTCATTGTGATGCGTCTTGATTGTTTCGGCATTCGTGCTGACCATATTGGATGCAGATTCAATCAGATCGGGTCGCAGTGTGCCCTGCGCCAGCAGTACCTCCTCGGGTTTTAGTTTCAATTCGGCGACCACATCATTGGTCACTTTTACAAATATATCACCAATGATTTTACGCTTCTCTTCCGGATTATAGGTCTGACATAACATGGGCGTTTCAACAACAGAATACTGGCCGGGTCGCTTCACTTGCGTGGTGCCCTTGAGGAACGTGTAGCCTTCCTTACGCACTATCAAATCAATGCCAATATCTCGCAACGAACGCTCCACCTTTTCGCTTTCGTTCTTGCGCATGAAACCTGCGAGGTGGGAACAAATTTAGTTAAACAGCTAAAAGCTTGAAAATCCTCCTCTGGTGCTAACATTACCATTATCCACATGCACTGCTATGATTTGGCTTGGATGCAGCGCACGTCGCAGTAATGCGGCACACACACTCGAATCAACGCCGCCGCTGACCAGCAACTGCAAAGAGTTACACTTTAGTAAAGTGTTTTAAAACAATATTTATAAATTTTAGAGACATACCAAGACTTTGTTATTGCCCACTTTTTCGCGTATATAGCGTATGCATTCCTCTTTTCGACTGCCCATGGTAAAGTTTGGCGTTAGCTCGCATATTTCGTACAGAAAGTTTGATAGCATTTGTTTGCCATTGATGGTTAGATCGACTTCGGGATGAAATTGTACGCCATAGATTCGCAAGATCTCGTTATAAATGGCTGTCACAATGCGATTCGTTGACCAGCCACCGACTTTAAGTTTCTCGCCCACGCACTCCACGCTATCGCCATGGGTGAGCAGCACGGACTGTGTGCGACTAAGGCGACTGCAAGAGATTAAACACGTTTAATAATTGAAGTAAACAAATTAAATGATTTATAAAATGTGAGGCCACGTGTAGATCAGTTTATAGACTACGCTAAACTGAACTGTTCCTGGCTTTTGTTTGCTTTGGCAGCATTGTATCAGCGCTCAAATAAGCTTGCAATTTAAACGCTTTCTTTTTGCTGCTGGAGATTAGTGGGGATTCTCTTAGTCTTACCTAAACAACGGGCACGATGTTTCAATTTCAATATTTTGCTGGCCATCCTCGCGCACGTCGGTCTTGAGCACGGTGCCGCCGAACTCTTTGTTGATTAACTGCATGCCATAGCAGATGCCCAGCATAGGGATTTTCAGTTTAAACAGATCGGGATCATACGTGGGCGCATCTTCAGCATATACTGAATTGGGCCCACCGGAGATGATGATGCCCCGATAGCCATTATCGCGTATCGTCGACGCTGGCGTATCCAATGGCAGAATGTCCGATTCTACCAAAAGCTCGCGCACCTTGCGATCGATGACCTGTGCGAATAATTGAAAACGATTATTATCGATATTGATAGCTGTGGGCGATATCGATTACTTACCTTGCCATACTGTGCACCAGCATCGAGTATAACAATTTTATCGTGTCGCAGTCCATTCTCCGCTGTCGTTAGAAATATAGTTGTACTCATATCTTTATCGTTGCAGCACTGCCCGGCAGGAGAGAGAAAGAGAGAGATGGCGAGATTAACGGCTGCCGTTAATAATAATTGACATGCAATTCTCTAAAGCATCCAACTGCAACTAGCAATTTGCGCCAGATCTTTAAGCCTATTTATATGCCAATATTTGTAACTGCTTATGTCTGGGTGTGTAACTAAAGCGTGTGCAACAAGGTCGAAATTGAATTTAAAGCCTTATCAATTGCAATAAACAACGCAACGTCTGTTTAACTTGTAACAAATGAACAACACATACCGGCAAAATCTTTTGGATCACACGTAGAATCATTCAACATGCAGACAAATTGTCAGGCCTTGTTTTTTGCGACAATTCTACGATAGACAACAAACATTTCCATTTTGGTCAACAGCAATGAATAACGAAAATCTATTCGAGGGGGAGGCGACGTGAAAAAAGGTCAAGAGGCGACGCCTTCAAAATAAGTTGAGCATATTTTTCTTTACCAGTGCTATGAGCGTAAGCTGAGGGTGCGGGGGAATTTGACGTAAATGTGCAAGTCGGCGAAAAAAAAAACGGAAAATTTCACACTGGTCCATTTATTTTTTTTTTTTGCATCTGAGTGTGTGGGGCTGGGACCGGGGCCGGCTACTGACCACGACAGATGACATGCAGAAAGAGCATGAGAGAGCGGGTGATGTGTGTGTGTGTTTATATGTGCAAGGAGAACAGAGCTAAAGAGGTGACAGGCGAATGAAAACTCAAAACACGCGCTGGTAATGCAAATGCCGTGGAATGCGAAAATGCGTAAAGTAAAATGTGCAAAGGCAACGGTAAACAGGCAGTGTTTCTTACAGTTGTTATTGTGTTTGTGTGGCAACTCTATGCTTTGCATTTTTAAAACATTTTCGGATCAATTATCTGTGTGCCCGTTTCGCCACAGCATGCGCTCAGGCAAAGTTGCATTGCGATAAGAAGAACAACAGTAACACAAACACCCAAGTCCAAGTCAAAGGCTATCAACAAGCAGCAAAAACAACAACAAAAGCAATTTGAGATGCGCATTAGGGACACGCACGTGGGAAATGGTATTGAACCAAGCTTATAACCACAAAACGACCACAATTATCTTTATGTCATGCAATTGGCGAGCGCATACAAAAGTCGGTCAAAAACACGCATTTGCTCACGCAAAAAAAAAAAATGCAAAAAAAGAGCGTGTGATGCGCGGTTAGTGGGAGGCACTGGTTGATGTTGAATTTCTTACCTGCTTACTAATTGCCGGGCGGAGCTGTAGGCCTGTAGTTAAGGCAGAAAACTTTATTCTTACACACTAAATACACGTTTCTTTTGGGTGCGGAATCCCGGTTAGCTTTGATTTTTGCACTCTTCTTTTTTTTCTTTTTTGGGCAAATCGGCACCGCGTCCGTCTCCGACCAAACCGCAAATATTTGACAATTTTCAGGGCCTTACGAGAGCCGCTGCAGCAGGCGCGTGAGTGTCTGATTAATGTTCCGTGTTGTTATTGTTTATTAGACAGGCGGCTGGCTACGATTTAGCACTGTCCAGAGCATTAAAATTTAAATATTACGGGGCTCTGCAACTAAACTTTTCGTGAATAAAAGCCGAAAGATGACATATTGACGAAGAAATTAGTGTTGGGTTGTGCATGAGCGAAAAAGAACCATTGGCTCAATTGAATAATTTGCAAGTGTTCATTATTAATGCTCATTTCTCTGTTGCTTATTGCAGGTTGTTGCATACATGCAGACTCTTTGTCTAATCAATTCGTATACATATTTAACAGGATGTTCGACACGCATATTTATTTGTAGGCTTAACCACTACCAAAATGATTTTTTTGCGTTTCATGCAATCAACTAGTTCGCTCATTAAAACTGAACCAAGTGAATGACCGCGAGTGAGTTGCGATTACACAGCACTGGATAAGTACTAATGTCAGCGTTGCTGCAGATATGTTAAACGATAAATTAAAGCAGCTGTATCGTTAGTGTTGGCAAATGCACGTCCTACAGCATTTTTCAATACACACCAGCTGGGCCCGCCAAAAATGATTTGTATGCGCGCTAAATCGGTTACGCTGTGAAAACTATTTATTGTTATTAAATAAAACAAAGACAATGGGTCCTGCAAATGTATCACAGTCAGATATAAGCATAGACGACGAAGCAGAAATACTGGCACTTGAAAAACTGCTGGGCGAAGCTGAAAACGATAATGCGGAGAATGCAAAGTCAGCAGCAGTAGCACCGACACCGACGCCACCCACTTTGGCCACTGCGGTGCCCCGCTTACGCGAAGACAGTAGCTTCGCAGACGCCTTTAGCTATGAGGTGACCGTGAAGCCAACGCAGACAAAAGCACAGCCAAAACTGAAATCCAATGAGCCGGAACTCGATTCATCTGACGACGAAGAGGTCAAGAACTTCTTGGAGCGCAAGTATAATGAATATGGCAGTGATATCAATAAAAAACTCAAAGAGCAACGTGAAAGTGCACACGAGAGCAAAGTGGCTCGCGAGGTGGATCAGTCGTTGAGAGCAGGGGTAAAACTGGTCGACACAACGGCACAGCCGGAGGCTCTGCGTCTTAAAAACCCGCACAATCCCATCCAGCGAAAGGCGCTAGCGAGCAACTCTTTCCAAAGACCAGCGCAGGCAGCAGTAGCAGCCGCACCCTCGGTCCAATCCCTGCAACAGTCTACGATCTCAGCTATTTATACAGATCCCGTGTTTGGGCTGCGCATGATCAATCCGTTGATATCCAGCGCATTGCTGCAGGAGCGCATGAACGGCCGCAAGTCGGTGCCTTTTTCGGGTCTAGCATTTCACATAGATCGCGGCGATTTGACCAAGGATTGGGTCATTGCCGGTGCCTTGGTGTCCAAGCAGCCGGTGCGCAATACTAAAAAAGGTGATCCCTACTCCACGTGGCGTCTATCAGATCTGCGCGGTGAAATGAAAACTGCCTCCATTTTCCTCTTCAAAGAGGCGCACAAAGCGCTGTGGAAAACCGCAGAGGGCATGTGTCTGGCTGTCCTAAATCCAACGATCTTTGAGAAGCGCGCGGGCAGCAACGATGTCGCCTGCCTGTCCATTGATACATCACAGAAGGTGATGATACTGGGCCAGTCCAAGGATTTGGGTACATGCCGGGCAACCAAAAAGAATGGCGACAAGTGCACATCTTTGGTGAATCTAACCGACTGCGATTACTGTGTGTTCCATGTGAAGCAGGAGTTTGGCAAAATGTCCAGGCGGTCCGAGCTGCAATCGGCCACAACCGGACGCGGTCTTAACGAGCTGCGCAACAAGGTGTTGGGTGAGTAGATATATATTAATTTATTTTCAGCCTTTATTCATACGTATTTTCACAGGCAAGAGCGAGGTTTTCTATGGTGGACCAAGTTTCTCAGCGGTGCCAGCACGCAAGAGCGCCAAGCTTATCAATAAGGAGCGCGAGCGTCTCAGCAAGCTGGCCGGTTACGATGTGTCGCCCTTTGCGCACAGCGTTGATCACGAATCAAAGCCGAGGAGCTGCCTGCCCGTAGATGTGCCTTATGCAGAGCGCGGCGGGCCCGTTTCTCGCCTTGCAGGCAATGTGGAGGCAACCAGCAAGCAGCGCTATAAGGATCTGGAGCGTTTGCGCCAGCTGCGTGCGGAAAGCGAACGTTTTGAACAGGCACCGGCAACGTCTCAAGCCACGCCTTCAACACCCACAACGCCCACGACCAAGGAAGCTGCCATGCCCACGACGCCACAAAGCGTGCCGGAAAAGTTTAAGAATCGCGGCTTCTCCTTCGATGCCAGCCTAACGCCAAAGCTCGCGGGCAGCGAGAATTTTAGCTTCGAGATAAACATTGGAGCACGCCAGGCGCAGAGCGCCAAACTGAAAGCAGCTGCGCTGCTCAAGAAGAAGCCGCTGGAGAAGGTCAATCCGAATTCCACGCGCGGCACAACGACGGGCAAACGGCGCGCCATCGATGAGCTGCACGACAAGTTCTCCACCAGTGGGAAGCGTCAAAAGCTCGAGGAGGAGGAACGCGAACTAATGCGTAAAACTCGCATAGAACGCATCATGGCCGCCACATCGTCGCACACAAATCTGGTCGAGCTGCGCGAACAGGAGGCCCAAAGCGACTACTTCGACAAGCTGGAGCGCAAAGAGGCCATGGAGGAGAAAATGCTAAACACATATAAAATGCCCTGCAAGGCGGTCATCTGCCAGCGCTGCAAATACACCGCATTTGCGGCCGCCGAGCGCTGTAAAGAGGAGAAGCATCCACTCAAAGTGGTCGATGCACAGAAGCGTTTCTTTCAGTGCAAGGATTGCGGTAATCGCACCACCACCGTTTTTAAGCTGCCCAAGCATAGCTGCAGCAGCTGCAAGGGTTCACGCTGGGAGCGCACGGCCATGATACGCGAGCGCAAGGTTTGCACGGGCCGCGAGGCGCTATCGGTGCGCGGCGACGAGGAGAGCTTCCTGGGCAGCGTGGCAAGCGCGGCGAGTCTGAATTTGCTGGTGCCCGAGGAGGAATAGACATTGGGTGCGTCTACTTTCTTGTTTTTCAAATATATACATATACTAATAGAAATTACCCGGCGTTGTCCGGGTCAAAAAGGTCAGTCGAATTCCCACCATGCGTCTATACATTCGCCCACATTTAAATATTAACAAATTCAATGAATAAATATAAAAATTGACAATTGCTGCGGGAGTTGAACCGGCGATGTCCCGCTTGTTTGTCCGACGATATAGTTCACCTATTTTAAATTCTCGTGTCAATGTTAACTCTTGATCCAAAATGCAATTTTAGTTTCGTATCTCTAACAGTTAGGACAAATTTTTAAATTTATATATATTTATATTGAATATTATATTATATAGAAATGGCATACAAATTTATATAAATATATTATATACAGTCTAGTTTTTGGCATATACATCAATAAGTACAAATGGTCAAATTTCTTATGGCTAATATATCTTTGTATGCTTTATATATAGTTTATATAGTATATATAAGCAAGTGCCTAACTTGAAGCACGGTGCTAGAAATACTTGGCGTTTAAAATTATCGTGCACAAATCTTAAGAAAATTTGAAAGGTTCTTTTGAATAAATATTAATATTTGGTAAGATCGTGACTTTCAAAAATTTTCAAAAATATTTTAGAAATTGCACAACGCAAATATTTTGATTTCCCTTGCTTTAAGCTAAAATCATGATCTTTTTGTGTGCATTTGCGACAAGAAGCGTATACTTTTATAGGCAATTAAAATTAATAAAATATACATAGATTATTTTATTTTATTAAGACTAGCGATTTAATTTCCTTTTTGCGTCAAAAGGCAACTAGAGCTCTTAAAAATATGGCATAAGCTTGGGAGAGTTTAAGTTCATAAATATTTCGATTGGGAAATGTGCGTGTGAATATATATTGGAGAGTGAACAGTGTTGTAAAATGACGAATTATAAATTTAAATAGTATTGGAGTGTTAAAGCCTGACTTGGATTCCGAAACAAAAATCCCTTAAAAGTTGCATGATAATAATAGACTTTAAAAATATTTAGTAAATAAGGAATTGAGATAAAAGATTGAAATATATATTGGACATTTTATGGCAATTTTCCGAGTACACTAAAATTATGGGATGCTTCGGGAATTGATCCGATATGAAAATTAAAAGCCTATTAAATTTGTATGAAAATGGGTTTTGAATGAAACTATAGCAAGGATTAATTATAGCTTTTGGCTAGCTTCGATTATAGAATCTCATAAGCTTCACACTGTAAATGCAACAGAGTATTCGAGTTAATTTTGGCAATATTATAAAGCTAAATATGATAGGAATAAGATTAAAACTAATTAACAAACAATTTGAACTAAAAAACCAGGCGCTATTAGAAAATATGGTGTATGAATTTTTGAGAAAAAAGTGACTCAAGTGAATGGAGGAATGGAGGATTAATTTTAGACGGCATCCTCGGCGTGTGGTTGGGGCGTTTCGGGCTCCTTGAGATTAAGCAAGCTAGAGAAACGAAATGAGATGGTCTTGGAGAGATGCTTCTCAAAATCGCGATTATCGAGATTATCGGGTATTAGCGTATTGTTGGTCATGTCCATGTAGGAGCGACCACGTTTCACGGGCACCGCATACTCGGGCAGGGCTGTGGCACAGCCATTGCCCATGTTGCTGTAGCTGGGCGCACAGCTGGATTTGCGTATGTTGAGCGGAAAGCGCAAATCGTTCTCATAGCGCAGCACCTGCTCCGTGGTCCGGGCCTCGATCAATGGACGCGGCAGATCGTAGCCGGGTGGGGCAGCTGCTGCCGTCGCTGCCGGAAATTCTGTGATAGACTCCTCGCGACTATTGGCCAGATCCTGGTCGTAGCTGTTAATCTTGGGCGGCGACCACAGATGCTGCAGTGACTCCGGTTCGCCCAGCTGCTCAACGACTTCCTGGCTGGGCATTAGCGCCGCCTCGTCGCTGCAGTAGATCGGATTGGATACGGCATTCGACTCCAGCTCAATGTACTTGGCATTGTTGCCCAGCAGCTTCTCAAATTCCGCCGCCAGATATTTGAAGGAGGGACGCGCATTCGGCTCATCAGCCCAACAGGTGCGCACCACGGAATAAACAGCCTCGGAGCAGTTCTCTGGACGTTCCATGCGATAGCCAGTCTTGAGCAGGGACCAGAGATTCTGTGGCGCTATGCCGGGATATGGAGAAGCGCCCAATGTAATTAGCTCCCAGCAGAGCACACCAAATGCCCAAACATCTGATTTGCTGGTGTACACATGATCCGCCAGAGATTCAGGCGCCATCCACTGGAGTGAGAAAAAGAAGAGAGAAGGAGTGTGTATATGGAGGGAGAGGAATATTAGGCTTATATGATAAAAGAGCTCTTGTGGGGGACTCACCTTGACGGGCACACGATCTCTGGAGCGCTTCAAATACGCATCATCCTCGTAGACATCGCGCGTCAGTCCAAAATCCGAGATCTTGCATATTTTGCCATCGGCGAGCAGCACGTTGCGTGCAGCCAAATCGCGATGCACCAGCTGGAAAAATGAAGACTCAGCAGCATTAGCTCATGCATTCGAATGATGACAGCCTGACCTGGACTGTCCAAAGTCCTTTACTAATCTCAGAGGCGCCACTTTTCGGACCGACTTAAGCTAACCTAATCATAATGATTCTTCCTCCTACCAGACATTTGATAATCCCAGCTGCTTTACCCAACCCAATCTGGCTCAGAAGCTTACTCAACCAACCTTCCCCTTAACACCACTTACTAACCTCAGAGGATACTAGTCCTCTGGGCAATCCTAGCTTTCCCTTAGCCAATCATGTCTAGAAGCTTAACCTCCTTCAGTTCCCCTGTTACAATCAATCCCACCTATCCCTTTGCTTGGCTCCATTTCAAATCCAGATATCTATTACCTTCCCACATCACATTCACCCACCTTCCACGGAGGATACCAGACCTCTGGATGAACCCCATCAGCATACCCCAACCCAATCATGTCCAAAAGATTACCCACCTTCAGCTCCATTTCATATCAAGATAATTATCACCTTCCCACATCACATCCACTCACCCTCCACAGAGGATACCAGACCTCCAAAAAATCCCACCTGCAACCAACCCTACCCAATCATGTCCAGAACTTTACCCACCTTCAGCTCCGTTAGATAGTTCATGCCCTTGCATATTTGCCAGGCAAAGGTTAGCATCATCTTGACATTGACCGGCTCGACGCCGTCGCTGAAATCGACGCCGGCGCACTCGATCTTCCGGCTGAGCCGCAGATAGCTTCGCAGCGAACCGTAGCGGGCATACTCGATAATAAGCAGCGGTGCCTCCGAGGATTGCGTACAGGCGCCCAGCAGTTTGATGACATTCGGATGGGAGACCTCCTGGAGCAGCTGGAATTCCGAGAGCAGGGCCATATACTCCACCGAATTGGCACCCTTCTTGAGCATCTTCACGGCGACGGTGGTGACGCCGGGCAGGCCCGCAATCTGTGTGGCATAGCCCTTCAGCACCTGACCGAACTCACCCTCGCCCAGCACCGTGTCCAGCTGCAGTTGGGCGCGCGGAAATTCCCATTTGGTGTCGGCGCTCTCGAACTTGAAGCCGCCCTGTAGCGGCATCAGCGGCAGATCACCATCGCCGCCCAACGCCTCCAGGTTGGGTGGCAGGGCCAGCTTGTTGCCCGGCGTTGCCGACTGTTTGCCCAGCTTGCGCTGCCAGAGCTTGCGCTGCGAGAGCAGCAGGCAGAGGAGCAGCAGCACAAAGAGCAGCGGGCAGCTGATGACGACCAGCAGGCAGGAGCGATTGCATTCCATGCCCGCCAAATGCAGCACGCCCAGCGCCAGTGCATCCTCATTCGGATCCTGCTGGTCGACCTGCACGGGCGTCGCGCTGACCAACTCCGGTTCCGTTTCATTCTTGCGCTTGCGCTGGCGTCGCGTTTTCACCTCCTCCTCGTCGGGCAGCGGAGCGCAGCTGCATTTGCCGTTGTCCTCGCAGAGGCACGTGCCGGAACCGCTCAGTATGCCACGCCCATTATCGTTGGTGGTATGCGGGCCCACAATGCGCGCGGCGGGAGTGCAATCCTGCGGACAGGCATGTGGATTCAGCTCCTCCAGCGCATCGCACACATGATCCGGACAGTAGCGTGCGTCGGGCACACAGGAGCCATAGTTGCGACCGAACATGGCCGAGCTGGTGCCGCGCCAGACGCATGCGCCGCCATTGGTGGCCAGGCCACAGAACTTGCCGCACTGCGTCTGATACTTGACCTGGGCGCAGGTCTGCGAGCGCGACTTCAGCCGCAGCTCACAATTGGCATTCGCCGGCCTGCCCTCCACCAGGTGCACGTTGATGACAAACGCATGCGGCTGCTTCTCCGCATCGATCCAGGTCACGTTCAGAAAGTAGACCGTCTCCGGGGCATGCTCCAGCGCCAGGGCGTCGCGCACATAGACAATGCCCGCCGTTTCGGTCAGACCGAAGGCGCCGCTGCGATCCTCGGCGAGGGCAAAGCGCCAGCCGCGCGCTCGCAGCAGCTCCACAAAGTTATCCGGCTGTGCCACGCGATAAAAGGCAGCCGCTGCGCGATGCACAAACACATCCTTCTCGTAGTCAACGCTGAGGCGTCGGCGCCCGGCCACATCCGTGTGCAGCAACTCGCCGGCGCTGTCGAAGATGCGCTGCTGGCGCACACGCAACGGCAGCGCCTGCGGTCGCTCCTGGTCGCTCTCGTGTAGCTGGCTCGTGTCCACGTGCAGGCAGATGTGCGCCGTCGCCGTCTGCGTTACATTCAGCGCCTGAATGGTCAGATCCCGGGCCTGCAAATCAAAGCAGTACGGCTCCTGGCGCAACACTCCGTTCCGGGCAAAGCGCAGCTCTAGTGAAAATGGGAACAAGGATAAAGGATAAGAAACAAGCGGGAGGAATTATATTGATTCGAAGATCAAATACTCTTGCAGATAGTAAAGCTCGCAATTGCTGAGTTTAGTCAAAAAATGTTCTTACAAAAAGTTATCTTGAACCGATTCTTCCTATCGTATCGATATGATATCGAAGTACCATATCATATGTTAATAGGATTTGAATCTTGGTAGAACTCATCAATGCCGACTTTGGTCTAGATATTCTGAAGAACAGAAAAGTTTTCGGTGCAAAAACACATTTTGAACCGATTCTTTCTATCGTAGCTATATGATATCGAAGTACTATATCCTATGATGATAGGATTTGTCTTGTATGAGTGGAGCTTGGATACTTTGAAAAACAGAAAGGTTTTCTACACAAAAACTCATTTAGAGCTGATTCTACCTCTTGTATCTATATGATATAGTACTTCGTTGTTAACAGGATTTTTCTCATGAGTAGAGTTTGATAGAACCCGAGTTTGGTCAGGATATCATGGGAAGGAAAAGAGTTTTCCATACAATAAATTAGTTTTCCACGGATCTGTTTCATGTAGAAAGCTTCGAAGCTGAAAGACAGGCAGGCGGAAAGATGTCTGTCTAGATTGAATATATATATATATATATATATATGTATAAAGTTTATACCTTTCATATCTGCAAGGGTATACAAAAGAGAGAGACTTGGTTCTTGGACTTACGGCAGCTAATGATGGTGTGCGGCCTGCCAGTGTGATCCGCCTCGTAGGCGTGACAATCGGGCTGAACGAGTCCAAGCTTATCATTAAGTATGGCATAGTTCAGATGCGCATTTGCCGCCAGCGTGTCCTTGTCCAGGTAGATGATTTTCTCGCCCACCGGCTCCTCCTGCAATGATGGAACGGAAGGGTTGATTAGCATTCACATTAACTGACCCGCGATAATTAAATGCTACGTGGACCGCTCCCAGTGACCTCTAGCTTGTCTCCAAGGAACTCAGCTGCTCCTGGCTAGCTTCATTAGCATTTTATCTAGTTTTTATGCACAAGGTCAGCAATTGGGGCTAAGGAGGGACTACAGTTAACACCTTGGGGAGCTGACATTTGCTGTGGGCGTTCTAGGAACTGCGAAACGACGCCCTGGTGTATGGAAGTTAACCTGTTTATAAAACCATTTTCTAGTGACAACAGCTCCTAACTCGTTTTGGGTTTAGGCACTAGAGTTAGGCAAGGCGTTGAGCAGGGAGAGTTGAGGAAGGAACTAAGCTGAGTTTAAGTAGGTGGCAAACAAGCTGCAATATTTTACTTTACGAACATCTACATTTTACACTTTACCATCTACCTGTTAATTTAAAAGCTAGCTAGGCTTATAAAAGTATGTCCGTTTTATAAGAAGACTTAACGTGGACTTAGGAAAGAGTTAGGAAGGAACTGAGGCGGAACTGAGGAATTGAGGCGAACAAGCTTCACTCTATTCCCTTACAAATTTCTACACTATTTCTACACATTTTACCATCTACCTGTTAAAGTAAAAAGCTGCTTAAGTTAAGTAGAAGCTGAACAAGCTGCAATCTATTCTTTAATAAATATCTACAGTTTATATTTTACCATCTACTTGTTAAAGTTAACAGGTACTTGGGCTTGTAAAAGAATTTCCGTTTTATTAAAAATAATAGAAAGTTAGGGAAGGGTCTTTGTTGATTTAAAGTAGGAGCCGTAAAAGCTGCAATCTATTCCTTGAATATATATACTTCATATTTCACCATTTGCCTGTTAAAAGTTAAAGGCTAGTTGGGCTTAAAAAGTACTTCCTTTGTATACGAAAGCAGTTGGAACCCCTTGACTTTTCGACACAAATTCCAAACACCTGTCAACAATTATTTCTATTGCCGTTGGAACACACCCAACAACATCCATTGCCTGACTTCATAGCTGGCTGTTAATTTGGGCGCACACATTAAATTAGAGAACTCTTACGCCCATATATATAATATTATAGCCAAGTGCTGAATACTTAATTTAAATACGAATTACCTACAACATTTTGTAATGGCTCAACTTTGGTGACATTTTATTTTTGCACCCCAAATCCATTGAAAGAATGGGTAAAAAAGGGTATATTAGTTTTGTGCGAATGTAAGTAATAAATAGAAGGGAGCAACAGCTTGTTGATCAAGAGTGGAATATTGATAAATCGATGCGAGATATAACTTGAAAATTATAAGTATGCAGGATATCGTATAATATATGTGCATCGGGAATATTTCATTATTTAAGAAAAACCTTTCTTTAAAGGCAAAGCATTGTGCTTGGGTATCTACACACTTTCTATCTTTACACACTTTGTCATATTTAAGCCTTGAAAGTTTCATAAAGATCGGACTATAAGCACCGAAGCTATTCAACACTGCATTTACCATAAATAGTGTGGGGCAAAGGGAAGGGGAAACACTTTGGATGCCTGCTCCCAAAATTGAAACAAAAACTTATTTTTAAAAGCAAAGCATCTACACACTTTTCTTTCTCATATTTAAGTCCTGAAATTTCATATAGATCGAAGTTAATCAACACTGCATTTACAATATATAGTGTTGGCCAAAGGGAAGAGGAAGCACTGCCGCAGGCATTCGTGAGGAAAGGTGCGTGTTTATGCAGAGGGAAGCTCGGTTTAGGGTATCCCCTAGTCGAGCACACTTAGTTGTTTTATTTTATATAGTACTTATTTTAAGGATGTTGAGCAATTACTTGCAACTAACTAACAACTAAATGACATAGTTTTGGCGTCCCGGGAATAGGCTTGGCTACGCGCTGCTTCTGGCCACTTGGCCGCAACATGACAACATAATTTGAGCCTGCGGCCCGCAGCAAAACTTAAAGCGTAGCAGCTTTAAGGGCCAAAACTCGACTCACTTGACACCCTTAGAGCATTGCTGCACATTTAGCTATTTTCTAGCTATTTTTTGGCTATATTTAGAGCTTTAAATTTGCAAATCTCACTATTTCTTAACTGATTTAGCTACTTCTCTTTGGATACTCAGTGCCGCAGAATTAGTAAGCAAATGTAAGCTATTTTTTATCTTGTACTTAGCTACTTTCTAGCTAATTGGTAGCTATTTTTAGAACTTTCAATTTGCAGCTGCCTGCAAATCTGGCTATTATAAAACTGAGTTAGCTTCTTCTTTTTGGGTACTGAATGCCATAGAATAATAAAGCTAATTTTAGCTATTTTCGTCTGGTATTTAGCTACTTTCGAGCTAATGTTTGGCTATTTTTAGAGATTAAAATTATCAGCTGCCTGCAAATCAGGCTATTTTATTTATGATTTAGCTATATCTCTTTGGGTACTCTGGGTTAGCTGATTTTAGCTATTTTTTGTCTGATATTTAGCTACTTTTTTGATGCAGCATTTTACAACACTGGCTGCGTGCCGCAATCATAAAAGCTGCTACAAAGTTACGCGTTTTAATGATGAGCTACGGAAATGAAGGAACGAAAAAAACGCCAGACTTCCTAATGGCCAAATAATGGGAAACTGGGTTGCCTCTTGGGTGGTTTATACTGTTCCTACGTTTTGGGAGAGGCGAGAGGGGAGAGGGGAGTGGGGGTTGTCGCTTGCGTGTCTGGTGGGCGTTTATCAAGCGCGAATTCAATAAAGCCCGCACCCAGCCCAAGCGTAGACAGCGTCCAGACGTTTGTCTGGAGCACTTCGGGCCGTGCACACAGACACACACACACTTACCGCCTTAAAGTAGGGCTGCTCCAGGTTGAAGTTAAAGTGCGGCTGGCGCTCCTGCAGATGCGGCCCATTGTCGTTGCGATCCAGCAGCGTGATATTGTAGCTGCGCCAGAATTGGCGCTGTTCCTGCCCGGTTAGCTTCACCGTGCAGCTGACCGTGGCCAGCAGCTGGCCGGCCCGTGCCTGCAGTCCGTTCAGCTCATCGTGATCCAGCGGCTGTTTCGTGTACAAACGATTCTGCTTGAGGGCGAAGTGGGCGCTGCCCGCCTTCAAAGCATACTCGACGGCGCGATGCGGACACAGATATTTGGCGGCGCGAGAATTGAGCGCACCAATCAGCACGGGCTCAAAGCTGCGCCGGTTCTGCGACGTGGTCTCGGCAATCGTATAGTGTGCGCCCGTCCAGAAGCATATGTGCTCCAGCTCGGCGCAGTAATCGGCTAGAGATTGTGGCAGCAACTCCAGTGTCAGATGCGCCACCTGCTGCAGCAGCTGCTGCTGCTCCGCGGAGGTCTCCTCCTGGCGGCGCGGAAAGGCGGTCAGCACATATTTAACGCTTCCGTTGATCGTGTGGTAATCGGTGCGCATATAAACCTCGCCGGAGCTGGCATTGAGGCGCAGCAGCGGATTCTCCTCCAGATTGTAGATATACTCCGCGGCCGGCTGATTGTTGTCCATGCGCAACACTTGAAACTGGGCCAGCGGTATCTTCGAGAATATGCTCTCCGACTCCTCGTTGATGGGCAGCTTGAATTTCACGGACGTGGTGGGAAAATAAACATCCAGCGCTGCAAGGGGAAAAAACGAAAAGCAAGAATTTAATCAATGGCAAAATTAAACACTTGGAGAAAAGGGCTGTAATAAATTCTAGAAAATTATAACTTAGTTATATGCTTCGCAATATTTCAAAAGCAATCATTAAAAATTCTTAATTCAAGAATATACGTACTTGAAAGAAGTGTGAACCTTTTTTAGAAACCTCGATTTATTTAGATGAAATATAGTATTTAAGAAATTCTGGGATTAATTAAAAGTTTTTAATATAAGAATTTCTTGGACCTACACAATTTCTTAAGTTGAGTGAACTGTTTAAGAAATACTTGACACCAAAAGAAGTCGGTATTAAAGAAGATTATATTAAATACTTAAAGCAAGTGTTTTCCTATGGAAATTTTTTGATTAAGTACTTTGAGACTTTGGACTTTGAACTTGAAAACCAATTCCAGGATGAGGATTTTTCTGAAAATTCGTTTCTTTATAATTCTGGACTAAATAAATATATCTTGATAGAAGTATTTCTTAGAAGTACGATTCTTAAATTGAGTACTGTGCTTGAGTGTTAAGAAATTTCGAGGTAAAAGAAGATTTGATTAAGTATTAAATACTTACTACTACAACATTTCTAAGAGTGAATACTCGATTTAAGAAACTCTGGGCTTAAAAAAAGTTCTAAATATATTAAATTTATTTTATATATTTTTTTTTGGAAATAATATTCTTTTTAATTTACTTTGAATTGTGCAATCTTTTATTTTTATAAATTTCGAGAATAAAGAAAACGCATTTTAATCTAAAAGTCATTCGAAAATTAAGAAGCTTTGATCTAGTCCGGCTTTTTTCTTATATTCTTTCCTAACTTCACAATATTTCTCTGAGTGCACTTAATCCTGTGATTGAAGCAAACAAATGGCCCAAAGTGTGGCGTCCACAAGTGGAATTTAAGTAAGAGTCGCCCGTTCGAAAAGCCAACCCCCCTCCCCCCCGTCCAGACACCAACAACAACAAGTGCAACCCCTGCTTTATTTGCGCTGGCTTCACCCTGATACCCTCACATCAAGAGATTCGAGTATTTACCCATTATACTCATCAACGGACTCATAAAAATTATGAATGTAGTTTAATAAGCTCGCATTGACCTCAATAGGAGACGTCTAAATGCGGGGGATGGCTTTAAATCCCAACCCAATTCATGCGTACAACACGGCGTATGCGTAATTTGATAAGATTTTTCCTGCTAATGACGCCGCTTGTTGTTGTTTTTGTTGTTGTTGTTGTTATTGGGTCGTGTGCTTGCATACGCTCAAGTCCAATACAAGCCATAAATAAATATAATACAGATATTAGTTATTAGCATATGGGTTATCAAAACCTACCCACACAATCCCCCACCCCCCGCCGCCCCCACCTAACTGAAGTGTCCGCGTCATCGCGTATTGATTTTGTGATAAGCAACAAAAAACAAACATTATACATAAAAAAAAAGAAAAAAGAAAAATACAATTGAATGCATAATTGGTAACAAAGGTTTTCTACGAATATAATTGGAACAATTTGTGGGGTGAAAATATTAAGTGGTTAAATGGGTGCTTGCCCGGAAAATGGGAGTTAGTTCGGGAATTTCTGTAGCCAAATCAGAGCAGGGGCGTGAAAATTTGTAATGAAATTTTGTTGGAAATGGGGAAAACTTTACCAAATAAAATAAAAGAAGAGGAGTTCTGGAAATTAAATACAAATAAGAAACCTCCGGACTTGAAACTTTGCGCATCTTATCTCTACTGAAAGTGGGAAAACCCTCTCAAAAAGTTAAATACAACCGTTCAATGCAAATTTATAGGGTATAGATATACAAATTTTCCTCTCTTATTATTAATGTTTAATTTCAACTAGATTCCAGTATTAACTAACCGCAAAAGAAATAAAAAGTGTTGGTAAATATTGCAAAAACTAAAATTTACAAAATATAAGTTTCGGAAAGGTGAAAATATTTTGAGGCCCAAAAAATAAAAAACGAATACAAAAGAGAAAAGTTACAATAGATAAGACTTTAATTTTAATGTAGATAATGCGCAGATATTCTTATTAACTAACTTAAAAGAAATAAAAAGTGTTGGTAAATACCGCAAAGAGTAAAATTTACTAAATATTAGTTTCAGGAGGGTGAAAGAAGTAAAAAATAAATAAAAAACTAATATAAAGAACAAAAGTTACAATAGATAAGGCTCGAAATTAAATATGGGAATACACAGATATTCTCTTAACAAACCTTCCGAGTTTTTTTGAGCACCCTTCCATAAAGAGTTGAATATTTCAGGTCTGAAGTTGCTTACTGAACTGGAAAAGGTTATCCACAATTTAATTTATTCGCCGTTCTTTAAAATCGTTCACTTAAGATCATATTCAACTATATTTTATATAAAACTATGTTTAATATTCAACTATCTTTCTTTCCTTGAATTCTTTCACTTAAGATCATATTCAACAATGTCTTAAATTTAACTTTATTAGTTGGATTGATAATTTATTGCAGGGGTAAACTAATTTCAGTGCGCAGCTTGACCTCCTTTTTAAAAAACTTCCATTCCTACGCAAACTCAATAAATATTCAAAGTATAGGAAAACTCTCAAGTACTTCATATATTTGCAGTTCGTTTAGTTCTTAGTCAAGGAGCAGGCACTTAATCATGTTCCAATTGGTCGCTTGGTCTCATAAACAGAACTGGCGCCGCCTTATCCCAAGCACTTGGTATTATGTCCACAAATCCCACCCAACTAAGCATAATTCCCCTCGAGCACACACGCATATATACATATATTTGACTAAAAAAACGCTGACAGTATTAATATTTCGTGACTGGATTGTGTTCCGTTTAAAGAGCGCCAAGGACACGAATAAGGGACGCCTGACGCCATTCTTGGGACGTAATTCCCTTCGCACATCCCGCTCGAAGCATTTAAAATGTCATTATAAATGCGTGTCTGTGAGTTGTCGCCCGGCTCCAACATATCATCTACATATTTTATCAGCATATTTCGCATGCCTGAGCGTCAGCAATTGTAATGAAAAGGTTCATAATTCATAATACTCATACTCGAACATACTCATTCGCACTCATTCGTTTTGAGCATGAGTACTTGTGAGTATATTAGTATATTTAGCTGATTTTCTGCATCATCCTTGCTTTGGCAGCTGTCTACATTTGCTTGCCTCTCTTTTTATACCCTTGAAGAGGGTCTTTTGATTTGGTTATTAAATGAAACAGGCATTTATTTTCGTTTGATCGATAAGTTATATGCATTCTTAGCTAATATCATTAGCCGACTCAATATAGCAACATATGTTGTTCTGTGTTTTCTATTGATTTGAAAGAAAGCAATAAGATGCATCAATATTTTTCTTATTGGAAGTACATTTGTCCAAGATGTCACCTACTTGACCACTTTACCATCCTGCTTTCTAATATATGAAAATATATTTTTAATATCTCACTACCATCATCATAAGAATCTCTCTACTATACATTATCCTCAATGTATAGTCTCTTGATTGGAAAGGAAACCCATAGATATATCCATCTTTTATTTATATATGTCAAAGTTGCCTTTATCAGCCTACTATATCATATACCTGCCTTAGATCAATTAGAGTTTTTCTACAAAAACCTTTTTTGATTTTAATATATCTTAAAATAAATTTCAAGCATCATTATACTTCTCATATAAAAGGAACATCTACGATTAACGCACTATTATATATTAATATAACTTTTTATAAGCACAATGGATCGAAATTAATAATATCTAATAAATTATATCTTTTATTATAGCTCCTTTATTATAATTATCATCTAACTTTTATAAGCACATTGGGTATCAATTCTCATATATCTTGGCAAGAGTATTTAATCTTCGACAAACATATGATAACTATTTCTGTTGCTCATAATTATGACAGGTATTGAGTTAGCAGGCATTTTGTTCATCCAATTAGCAACAGTTTCTTGTTTGCATTGCTCTCGAAATGGTTTGTTTATGGTTATATAGAAAATGACTGTGGGAGTTATGGAAAACTTTTGCGGCTCAGCATGTTGCCAATTTGATTAAAAAAAGCACAAATATGGGAAGTGCAAAGAAAGGCATTCACGAAAAACTGCGAGAAGAGAAGCTTACAATTTATTGTAACTATAATATGCGGGGGATATGTTGATATAAATAGTTTCACGATATCATATGCAGAACATTCTTCTGGGAATATAAAGACTTTTGTTTGATTAGAATTAATCTAAGTATAAAAGTTCCATGCTATTTCTTCCCATGCTATTTCTTCCCTCCCTATGAGTTAACGTTAGAACCACTTGGGAATTACAATTCAACAAGTTGTGCAAAGTAGACAACTCCCCAGGGCTTTTTTCCCCACTTTTCTCCTTAAATACAACATAAATGTACTTGAGAAACTTTATGGTTCAACTGATTAAAGCTCATGCTCAATATAATCAGCTCAAAATAATAGAAATCTCCAACAAAGTGTAGCCCAATTAACTTTAAACCTTAAATGCAACTTGAGCTTCGCTTAAAAAAATCTCACAACGAGCAGATATCTAACCCTGGGGAGGTGTCACAAACGCGGGCCAAAAGTCAACAGCCATTAAATAGTGGTAGAAGAAAAAAGAAAAACAGGACTATCTATCAGAAAGGACAATTAAAAGGAACGAATGGCGCATTAAAAAGTCAACCGACTTTGGCCAAGAGGACGCGAGTTTTGGGGGTGGATGATTGGACACGCTAATGACAGCAGAGTCAACAGCCGTTGGCCATTACGACGGCTCGTACCTGAACTTGGCCACAACCAGCACGGAAGGGAGAGAGAGAGGGGGGGGGGTTGGTTCCGGGTAACTGGAGACTAAAAACTGTAATTGAGGCGCGGCCCGTTGTCAACTAGTTTCGACTTAACTAATTAATCTGCACAAATTAATTGACTTTGCATCGAATTAGGTCGTTCAGTTGTTTGCCTCGTTTGTTTGTTGTCCTTTTTTTTTTTTTACTTTACTTTTTTTACGCGCTTTTTTCTGCCTTCCCCCCATCCGCCCCTGGGTGCGTTGTCCTTTCTGCCGTGAGTCATTTGCGAGCGAAATTTTGCACACAGCATCCGGGACATTAGTTTTTATTTTCATATATAAGTATATTTTTTGTAGCTCGGTTTTTCCTCCGCTTTTGCCGTCTGCGTAATGAAAACTTTATCTTTGTCACAGTTGTTTTCCTGTCTGCGTGTGTGTCAAATGTTTTTTCCTCCCATTGTGTTCTATTTTTTAATACCCTGTAACTATGGCAAATGGGTAAAATGGGGTATACTGTTTGTGAAAGACAGAAGCTGGCATCTGTGCTTCGAAAGACAGCCGAGTCGAATGAATGTCTCTTAATCTGCCCAATCTCAAAGATTAAGGAATCGATAGATATCCCATTTTAGTCCCACTTTTTTTTAACTTATCTCCGAGATTATAAGAGCTGGAGTATGTAGAATTAAGTATGTAGTTTCTCAAGTAGCCTACACAGTTAAGGACTATTTCACTTTTTGATATCTAAAACCCTTTACTACAAAATTAGTTAAAATTGATTTTGAAAGGCCAAAGCCTTAAGCTTTTCTATGTACACGAATTTGTATAACATGTTTAAGCTCTAAAAAATTGCATAACGATCAGAAAAAAATATATAAAAAATAATAAACTCGAAAGTTATTTAAGAAGGGTTTTTTTCCAGAGTGTGGAGGCCAGAGACTGGAGGAAGTAGAAGTAGAAGTAGAAAAAAGTTTAAATGCCTGCTACTACAACTCGCAGCTGTTTAGAGAGTATCTCCTAGTCGGGCAGTCTGTTCTTTTTTTCTTTTCCATTTTTCATTACTCATACGACCCCTGCAACCCGAACAGAGTCTTTGTTACTTGTGTTTAGCTTGGCATTCACAACTTCTGCTATTGGCTTTGGCTTTGGCTTTGGCCTCTTCTGTTGGTTGATTGTCTTTTGGCTTCGGTTCTTGCCACATTATGAAATTCGTTCCGTTTGTCTCAGCACACTTTCACTACACGCTTGTAAATCCATCTGTACTTGTAATAACTTTATGTTTGTGGTGTGTCATCCAATTGCTGGGCTTGTTTCCTGCGCTCGCCTTGAAGGTTTCCTTTGTCTGTCTGTCTGTCAGGACAAATTGAATATCAAATAAGCAGACCGTGAACAATCGAATCGATTATTGGGAAGTTCTTCACTTGACAAATGCTGACTGATTGTATTTATACTATTATTATATTTTATAAATATTTATACTATTATTTTATGCATACAAATATGTAAAAAATGGTCCCTGGTTCGGCATACAATGCGAATCAACTCCCAACCTTAAGGCTCCTTTGGTTAAATGATTATTGTTTTTATTATTTAAGGAAATATTGTAATTGATATGCATATTATATATATACTCTACTAGCTACTCTTATAGGGTATACGAAATTAATTGATCTGCTTATCGCCTTAGAGTTTGTCGCATTTGTCGCTTTTCCGCCAGTTTCCACTTTGAAGTCTTGCATTGGGAGCTGGACAGGCGATGAAAAAGGGAAAACAACATCCACGCGGCATTTGCAAATGAACTTGAAAGACTTTGTCTATTCACTTTATTCAGTATTTCGTATTCAGCATGAATAACTATTCACACACGCGAACACAGCTGACGCTTTGAATAGGAGCACACACACATATTGCTCCTAAAAGGTGATCGATGGGCTTGCCCCTCTCTAATTGTTAACTGTCACCAGAGAGCTGAGCACATTTGTCATAGTCAACGGACGAGTTATGGCGACTAATTAATGGAGCCTACAATTAGTTGAAATCGTGTTTATCTAACCGAGCTGGCTGCTAGAGCAATTAATTAGAAAATGTAACTCTTAAAACTGGACGTGTAACTATTCAGATGACGGGCGCTGTGGCTGTTAATAAACATTTATATTCCACACAGGAGCAACAAACTGAATGCAGCGCATTATAAATGGAAATCTCAGAAAGAATAAAAAAAACAGTTTGCAGCCAGACTCTGTTAATGCATTTGTTATGGGGCGTATCTGGGTGCGACAGACAGATCTCATAATTGTGCTCGTGTTTTTTATTGTTTTTTGACAATCTCTACATCAATTTATTGCTATGCAAGAGAGGCCTTCAGTGTTTGGGTTGACAAGTTTGTTTGAATAACTTATTATTCTATTTAAGAGAGGTTGCAATGTTACAACAATCGGAATTAGAAAAGCGAAATTCCACTCACAATCGTGGAAATTGGGTGGAAAAATGTTACTCATATGAAACCTGATCGTTTTTAATCTGGTTGTAATTCATTTGTATATACATATTCCTCCGACTTCAGAAAATAAAACTAGGAGCTATTTTCTAACAATTGTCTGCAGATATTTTTGCAAGAATCTAAACACGAAATAAATCTATGCGATTTTACTTGTATCAGAAAATTCACTTAAACATTCAGAATATATGTGAAATTTAAATACAAAGCAATGGGCAATATATTTTCTATTATTTTATTATAATAATAATAATCATATTAACTTTAAACTGATATAAGACTTATTAATATTAGCTGCGAATATGTGTTAATTCAGTTCCACAATCGGAATATAAGTGAAAAATAATGACATAGCAATGTGCTAAGTCTGAGGTTGTTTTTTTATAATTTAAATGTTAGTTAATCTAAAAACTTTACAATGATATTGGGCAAATATTTATATAAATATTTGTAAGCCTGCACGTCGGGCTTCAATCCGGATTTCACTTTTATCATGAACTATGTTCACGAATCGAAGCTTAAGATTGGAACTGATTGGAACCGTGAATCTTTTGTTAGTTTTTCAGGCTTTATTTGGAATTCGTGTTCGATCGACAGATTTTCAGTTCGTGTTGTGTGAGAAAAAACACGTGCGCAGCTCCGATTGCAAGCACTTGCTGACAAGCAGCACAACAAAAAATACCAAATAATTATAACAATTTAATCAAAGCCGTGAGACTGCTCCAAACGGGTGAAGGAGGGGGAGACGGAGCTGGCGACGAGGGGCGCTTAAATGGTGGGGCAGATGCCGAGCCAAGTGCCAAGCGTCCACGGCCACTTAAATGCGAAAAAAAAAACTGTGAGCAAAGTAAACGAAGTTAAATGGTGACGGGGCCGGGAGGGGGCCAGAGGGCGGGGGGGGGGGGGGGCGCTGGGTTACAACACACACACACCTATTGACTTAATTGATTTCGCATAAATTCATTTTTTTGCTTCGCTTATACATAAACTATTTCGTTTTGGCAAGCAGCTGTTGGGCATTTCGACACCTTTGACCCGGCGAATGGAAGCGGCCAGAGAGAGAGACAGGGAAAGAGAGAGGGGGTGAGAGGGAGACGGCGTCGACGGGCGGGCCCTGTGCCCAGTCACGACGCAGTGCGTTCAACTTGGCTGCAAGTGCAAATAGCAGCGAGCTGCGCGAGTCAATATGTGGCAGAGATAAAGACAGCGGCGGCGGAGGGGTTGACTGAGGTCAGCTGTCCAATGCCTGACGCTACGGCAGCTCCAACCCTCAAGGTAGCACAACAAATTTGATATGTGTCTGTGTGTTGAAATTAATTTGGGTGTGTTCATAATACACACACCCGCACGTCAGCTGGACTCCCAGCACCCGGCCATGCCCACAATATCGTTTACTCACATGTCAAAACTGTCCGTCAAATCGGAGGATTCACACCTGTGAGGCGACCCATACAAAAAATGGTATAAAAATAGATGCGGTACCTTTGAGCATATCATTAGGCAGCATATAAAAAAGGCACGTGGGGGAACGGGTGTCTCTCAGGTAACTCGATTTAACGATTATCTGCAACTGCAATTGCATTCCCACGCTGCGTAACTGTGAGATTTGATTTGCTCGCCGACTAATTTGTGTAATTGGCTTTTTTACGATCGTCCGCACTTGGACGTGCGTGTGCACTGGGCGCGGGTGGCGGGGAGCGGGGGGCTGTGGGCGTGTGCAGTATCATTGATTGCTTCGCGTATGCACTGAATCAGTTTAACTGTAGATAAGTGCATTGGGTTGTTATGCGTTGCACTGCATCAATTCCATTTAATTGATGCCTAATAAAGTCATAAATTTGGATCTTCTAAATATAAATTTCGTATGTTTGCCTATCGATAAGTATGGAGTTTGATATCGATAATTTGCTTATATCGTAAATTCTACTATTCTTCTCTCCTTTTCTCTCTCTATCTATCTTTCACTCTCTCTCTCTGTCCCTCTCTCTCAGTCCCTCTCTCTCTGTCTCTCCCCATCTCTCTCCCTCTCTTTCTTCCTCTCTCTCTCTCTCTCCCTCTCTCTCTTCCTCTATTTCTGCCCTTCTCCTTGATATCGATCATTTACATAAATTGTAATTACTTTTTATCGTTCACATGCTTCTCTATTCTCCTCTCCTTATCTCTCTCCCTTATTCTATATTGTTATCTCCCTCTCTCTGCCTTTCTTTCCATTTGCTCTATATTTATCTCTCATCACCTATCCAAACAAGGCCAAAAATTGCTCTATCTCTCTCTCTCTATCTCCCATTTTTCTCTTTCTCTCCGCATCTCAGCTTCTGATACGTGAACCCAGGGCACTTATATCTCAAACAAATTAGCCCTCCTCCCCGCAAGCGACTTAACATTTATAGATACATTTGTAGCTTTAAAATTCGCTTCAAGATATGTGGCAAAGCGAATGCCCAATATGTCGTCGGTTTCACAAGTCTCTTATCTATTAAATATTTACATTTAATTGTTGACATTTGCATGCGACGATCAAACATTTGTATTCCAATTACGAAAAGAAAAAACAAATACACACACACAGTCAATTGCTACGTCTATCTCTGTCGCACTTACCCAAACAGATGTGCAGCCTCAGCAGAACAATGGCAGCCACAATAACGGTACTGCCAACGCCGCTGCTGCACTTGAACGCCATTTTATCTGCTGCTTCAGCTGCTGCTGCTGCTGCTGCTGCGCTGCTTACCTTCGCGCAGCTCTGCAAAGAAGTTGTTCGCAGTCGCTGCTTTGTTCTTATCGTGTTGTTGTTGTTATTTATGTTTTGAATTCTTCTTCGGTCTGGCTGTGCGTTTTATGTTTGTCCAGCCACTTGGCAAATTGTTTGCTCTGTTTTATAATTGTAACTGTTAATTCTCTTGACAATTATCTTCTTCTCGCGCACTTTTTTCAACGCACTTTTCACATTGTGTGTGTGTGTGTGTTTGTGTTTGTGTTCTTTGATATTTTTCACGTTCCACTCATTTAATTACTTTTGATCACAAACTGATAAAAGACACATTTATCAATTAATGTGCAAAAAGAGACAACAACAAAAACTACGCGTTAAAAAAATCAACAAAACAGCAAATAAAAAAAAAAGTGCTTGACTTTAGGTTACCCTGTTGGCAAATCAATAACGAACTTCGTTTGAATATCGTAATACTTTGTTATCTCGTATTTGGAATTTATATAAAAGCGCAAGCTGCTCGACTAGTAGACACTCTGTAATTGAGTCTGAGGTAGGATATTAGGAGCTGCTCGACTAGTAGACACTCTGTAATTGAGCCTGACGTAGAATATTATGCAATTGGGTTTTTTTTACGATTTCCGTTTAAGGGTAATTATTTTAACTTTGTTATAAATTTGATATACTTAGGGTATATAAGAAATCGTATACCAAATTTGCTAGCCTTAGCTCTTATAGTCTCTGAGGTCAGTCGGTTTGCTCAGATGCGAATGATACTATTCCTATACATTTGATAGGTTTATAGTTATCCAAATATTTTCCCCTACCATCATACCCTTTTGCAAGCATTTTACAGCGTATACAAATATTTAATAATAACTGACAAAATTACAACACAATTCCCCAACAATTTTTCGTCTGCTTTTGTTATTAGTTTTTTTTTTTTTATTTTTTATTGATAGCAGCACCCACGAGTCGTAACCCACCCCCCCCCCCTCTCTCTCTCTCTCTCTACGTCCCTCGCTACGCTGGCGCCCGGTCTTCAATTCAATTTATCATAGACTTAAGGCCGCGCAAAGTTCCGCAGTGCTCAAGGGACTTTGCCTACAATTTCTGATTATTGCAATTAAAGTATGGGCTTTGAATTTGTTATTTATAATTTCTTTTCCTTTGTGTATTACAATATTTTTAGATTAATTTCTGTGTTATAAATCGTTCTATGCTATTTTTGGCAAATCGATTTAACACTCGTTTTGTATTTATATGGGCCTTGCTGGCTCTTAAGTCTGGCCAAGCCCCTGGTTATAGTCCGAGCAAATTTGCCAACTCATTGAACAAATACAATTTTGGCACATTTAATTGATCTTTAAATTGAAAAAACATTTTTGACTACGCTTTAAGAGAGTTTTATAATATTGTTACGAAATGTGTTACGCAGCAGATAGTTAAGAATTCAGAGAGATCAATTCTTGATAAAGATATACATATATATATCGTATCATACCATATCTGTCTATGCCTATGTGAACTAAGCTTTAAGTGAAGTTTTTTAAATGAAACTTGGTACACATGATTCTCCTGGCTGCTTTTAGTATATATGTCGGAATCAGTCAGATCGGATCACTTTATCACTATATCTTTATGTTTTTCTAGATTTTACTTTAAAACTCAAGACAAAATCTATATAATACAGCTGGGATTGGTGAAGCATGAATTTTGTAATAAGAACTTTTTGTTTTTCCAAATTAATAATAATTGACTATTACAATGCTTAGAAGATTTTATGAGAATAATATTTTATGCTATATCATATGTATTAAATAGTTACGATCGCTTTTTTTTGATAGCTTCTTTTGACTAGGAACTTTTTTGTTTTCGAGCATATATTATATTTGATACATATCTTCCCATTTATTTAACTCTCAGATAGAAAGGGTATTTAGGCTTCGGCGCAGCTCTGCAGCATTTGTTCTCATTAAATTAATCGTGCACATAATTGTTCAGACAACTTTAAAGATAATTTTTTGGACAGCTTAAAAAGTAACAAATTCTTTGACTCCAATTCGAACGGGATGTGCAGCTCACGAGTTGAGTTTGAAGTGGGTTTCTTTAAAAGCTTTGAAGTTGGGGCAACTGGAAGTGCTTTTGAGCTATTCAAAGCAGGTGTGATAAAAAAACGAATATGTAAAAAAAAGCCTAGGGGGGACTGGCATTGGGCCATGTGCAGATAGCAAAGCATAATTCAAAAGAGGCTCAAAGTCAAACAACGTGATAAGCGGACTGCATGAATTGACAGAATGATAAACTGACAGACAGCCAGACTGACTAGCTGACTGCGTCTATGCTAAGCACTTGAGCTGGGGCCACTTTAAAGTTCAACACATTTGACACACTGAGCAGCCAACGACTGACACAAAGCCGGCTCCCAAGCCCGCACTTGCCGATTTGTGAGTGGACTTCAACTCCCGACTCCAACTGGCTTTTGTTAACTGCCAATTGGCGGCTCGCAGCTGCCAGCTGCCACTTGGTAGTTGTTACTTTTATATATATGTATATTTCTTTCCAATTAAAGGTTAGATATATAAGCAGCGCGACGCGACGCGATTATTTTTGTTATTTTTTTTTTTAAGGTGCGTCCTGTTGCGCCCGAAAAAGGCAGCGCCATAAACATGAAATGTTCATCCGACAAGCCGCTAAACAAACCACCGACAACCGACGCTGGCCAAAGCCAAAGTACAACTGTTTCAACTTGAATACATATCCAAGAGTTTCTGGCTTCCCAGAAGCGCTGTTTTCGCCGTTTGCTTCGTTTGTTTCTAACGCAGCCAATTTGCCGACTTTTGTCGCTGTCGCCAAAAACAAAACGAAAAAATTCAAAAGAAAATATGTTTGTTATGCTTTCTGAGAGAGCTAGAGAATCTTCGTGACTGCTTAAAATGTTTAAACTGCCATTTGGAATACCCTGCTCTGAAAATATGCCTAGGGTGTATGTGTTGCTATATATCAGCAGAGCTTAGAAGAAACCTTAACCCTGGTCAATCTGCCCTCGTCAAGCTGAAGCTCTCTTTATAAATAAGTACTAAGGTGTACAAATTTGGTAGGCAGTTTCTTATATACTATACTATATATCACATTTACTTATAGCTTTAAATAATTAATAAATAATAATAATAAATAATAATAATTAATAAATAATAACTCAGCAAAGCTGAAATCATATCCTTAATTTATTCATTAATTTCTAAAACTCACGAGCCTTAATAAGCTATTTTCGTAACTTCTCTCGAAAGTAAAACTAGTTTTTAATTGTGAACCCCATAAGAGTCCAAGATAAATTTATAATTTTCAGGATTTTTAATAATCAAAGTAAAAATATTCCCTATCTTTTTCAATGCCTAAATATTTTAGACTGAGCCTTATCAAATTACTTTGAGATCTTGGTATATTTGGTCTTGAAATTTTTAATACAAATATTAAAAAGGTTTTCCACAATTTTATTATGAGATTTTAGTATACTTGGTATTTTATATCTAAATTAAAAGATTAACTTTACTTTTTCACAATTTTAATATTGAAATTTTAGTATACTTGGTATTTAAATTCTTTGCATAACATTTTACTTTAGTTTTTCACCATATTTATACAAATATTAATTTATTAGCTCTTTCATAATATCAGCATCAAAATACTCCCTATTACAGAGTATTTCCCAGTCGAGAGCACTTAACAAAAACGACTATTTTGGTTTCCAGGAAAAAGGGTTCGGGTATGTTAAATATTTGGCGTGCACCTGTGCGTATGCGTAATATTTCAGACCAACAGCAGACACGCATTAATCAATTCTGTGTTTAGGAGTTAAGTGATTAATTCAATTGTAAAGAATTTGCAGCATGCAACGTTGACTTTAGCTCACTTTAAAGCGATTTGTATTACAAATTTGCAAATAGATTGCAATATGCAAATTAGCCGCGATAAATTGTCATGTAAAGTCATTTATCAAGTGTCACGCGGCAATATAATTATAGTATTGAACCATTTGCACATATTTGAATGGCAGCTAATGAGCATCTGTTTAAAATAATAACTATGATTTCTGAAATGTTCCTAATGCAATTAGTGTTTTTGTTTACGTACAACATATTAATTAAATTTAAATACTTTGTCACTTAATCTTAAAGTGGCATTTTTATACGTTGCCTGCAGTAGGTCAAGTAAATCTGTCTGTCACAACAATAAATTCTGATTGATTTTAGTAAATATTAATTATCAACATTTTTTAAAATTATAATTATTAACATTTTTTTATATATTTTATTTTTAATTTATATATTTATTTATTATTTTTAATTGTTAAGTTGTTTAATTTCAAAAGGTTCAAAGGCAAAATGTTATTAGGATCTGAAAATTGGCGTCTTGATGTGAAAAATCAAAAGAATTCCGATAAACAATCTAGTGGAAAATTCATTCCAAAGCCTTTCCCAGCCTTTTTCTAATATTTTTAAAAATTTGGTATACAAAATAATTGGATTAATTTTGACTATTGCCTAAAGCAAATCCAAAGTAAAACAAAATAGAACCAAAATGTTTGATAAAAATATTAAAAAAAAAAAATAAAATATTATATTATATATACTATAATATATAAAAAATATATTATATAAAAATTAAAGATTGACAGTTTCAAGCAAATTTCACAGAAAGAAAGCGTCTTCAACATTCATATTCCTGTTGGTTCCTTTTATTTAATATATGTATATAATACATATTATTATATATAATAAAGATTTATATATATTATTATATATTATATACTTATATTAAGCTTCTGATGTTTTGCACATATATGAACACCAAATTACCCAATTAGTGTTTATAACAAACTACCAGCAATATTATTATTATATTTTTTTTTACATTTAAACATGAGCTTGTCTGCAGTTTTTTGTTTTATTTTGTTATTTATGTGTCTTTTGTTATTAACTGAAACGTGCTCGCACTTGTTATCAACGGCAAATATCCACAAATATGCAATAAATAAGTCGGGTTTTTGGCGACAAAACTGAAGGCTTTAATTTATGGCCTGCAGCTGCAAAAAGCTCCTTATTGCAACATTTATGCACCGTTTCTTTTTGTTTTGTTTATTATTATTACTATTATTTTGCTCTTTTTTTGTGGTTAATTAGCGCGATTTTTGAAGTCGGAAAAGCGATGCTCGTGGCGACGTTAGCAATCGCGTTTAGCTGCCATGGAACCGCTTTCCATGCGCTTCGTTTTACCAATGAAACTGAAACCGGCAGCGAGGCAACTGAAAAGCCGCAAACCCACAAAATCACACAGAAAACTTTTTCGACGTCGTCGTTGTCGTCGGCTGTCATCGTTCGCTGGGTGTGCTATGTGTGTGTGTGCGTGTGTGTGTGTGTTGTGTGTGCTTTGAGTGTGTGTGTCCATTTTCACCGCATAAAAACACCCTTGCAGCATGCGCCCCTCGGCTCACCCTGTTGCTGCTGCTGCTGCTGCTGCTGCGCTCTGTTTGCTTATCAACGGGGTAATCCTTATCCCAGCGCGCACTGATAGCCAATATATTCGTTTGAATACGAGCATGAGATAATCATGTTGATTATATTTCATCTTGCACTCCCTCTCGCTCTCTTTCTCTCTCTCTCTCTCTCTTTGGCATAATTGCATCTGTCCAGTGCTGCCAGCTGACGCTTCAATAGTGTTAGAAAAGGCTAAAAATAGAGCTGAATTAGTTAAGTAAACACAAAATAGCAAAAAATAGCTAACTAAATGTAAAATTTCAACAGTTTCCCGCTGAATTCCTCTAAAAATGACCTGCCTTAGCTGAAATAAAGCTGAATTGGTAGCACTGCAGCTCCAGCCCGAAACATGATCTCATCCCTCGCACTTTTCATATCTGTGAAACGCACTCTGCACTCTTGGCAAATAGACATACGGTACATTTTGGTCGTACGTTGACGTTGGGCAAGGGTTTGGGCTTCTTATCTCTTGGCTGTTAAATATGGGTTCGCATCTTGTTTATTTGCCAAACATTCAAATGGAAGTTACTCACTGGTGCTACCAGCGGATTAAGATTAAGCACTTACCTTATCTAAATGAAAAACCACAAAAGAAAAGTTAACAAATTAATTTTCAAGGATTCTAATATCTAGCTTTACTGAAAAATTAAATTTCCAGCTATAAAGCTACATATCCAATTTTGTGACAAGTCATTAAAACCAGGATTAATAACAGGATTTCGTTTTTTCCGATTTATGGGATTGCTGCGAGGCCACTAGAAGGACCTACGTTTCAAGTCTCTAGCAAACGAACAGTCGTACGGATAGACTGACGGACATGGCTAGATCGACTCGGCCATAGATGCTGTTCATGAATACATATACTTTACAGTTATACTTTACCTATTTTTAATGAGTTGAGGGTATAAAAACGTCTCCAATATTAAAGTCGCCGTCTCCTCTATTGTTAAAGCCATCGTCTCCTTCATAATTGAAGCTGCCTCCTCCATAGTTGAAGCCGCATGCTATGAGACTTATTTGAATTCTTGCATACATGTATGCATGCATACATATGTACATACATGTATGCATGCATACATACATACATACATACATACATAAATACATACATACATACATACATACATACATACATACATACATACATACATACATACATACATACATACATACATACATACATACATACATACATACATACATACATACATACATACATACATACATACATACATACATACATACATACATACATACATACATACATACATACATACATACATACATACATACATACATACATACATACATACATACATACATACATACATACATACATACATACATACATACATACATACATACATACATACATACATACATACATACATACGCCTACATACATACATACATTTCTACTTACCCGGTCCACCTCCTGCTCCACCGCCTCGAGCTGCTCCTCCACCGTCCTTGTTGAATTTCAGCAGGGCCTACTTAAATTTATGAGAATCGAGGAGGAGAGCCCTTGGTAGAAATTCGTTGTATTTAAATTTGCAGCACAGCGAAAATTAAGCTTGGTCTGCGTTTGGTATTAGAAAATAAACATACATGCATACATATACATATAAATGCACACATGCATGCATACACTAACACACACACGCATAAACACACACACACACACACACACACACACACACACACACACGCACACGCACACGCACACGCACATACATACACATACAGGCGAGTTTGAATTCAAGGGTAGAATCCACAGATCGGGGAAGCGCTTCATGCTAATTTTGACGTAGTTTTTTCAAATTATATAACCGAGATCGAGATTTCTTAAAATATAGAATGGAATAAAGGAAAAGACGGAAACAAATTTCATTTTCTATTGAGTTTTTTGGTGTATTGTAACTGGGTGGGGGGAATTGTAGGTGTATCTTGTGTACGTAATTGTTACATAGTTTATTGAGCCTCAGATTGAGATTACAGGTACATTTATAATTCCAATTGTCCGGAAGCACTAGCTCTTAAAACTATAAATGCATGAACAATCAAAACCTAACCTCAATGATGGTTTTTGTTTATGTTTTTTGTTGTGTTTTTTTTTCATGTTATACGGATTTTATATATGTTATATGACGTATGTTATTCAGTTCCGATATGGTCCAGGTGCCGTACAAGCTTGTCCGGTTGGTGGCATTCATTTTCGTTGTCTCCCCATCTAGCAGGTGCAGGCGGGACAAACAGGCTTGTCCCCCTCGATGGTGAAGGTCTGTGATGTGATCGGATTCTCGCAGCGATTGCAACGGAAGCAATCGCGATGCCATTTGGCGTTCATGGCAACAATGGCGCTATCTGTGATCGGCTTCTCGCATTTGGCACAGCGTACGGCAAACATATCCTCATAGTCCTGCTTGCAATAGGCCTTGCCGTCCCGCTCATAGAAGGGGCGATTCGACAAGGGCTTCTTGCAGGCGCCATCGCACACAAAACAGCTCTCGTGCCAATTTTCGCCCATAGCGCATATGGTGCGCTCCAAAATGGGCTTCTTGCAGGCGGCACAGGTGCTCGTATAGCGTTCGACAAAGCAATCGCTGCAAACGGGCTCACCGTCCTGTATATTGAAGGTGGCATCCTCGATCTGTTTGTCGCAATGGCGGCACAGGAAATGCTCCGGATGCCATGTCTTGCCCAGAGCCGTTATAACGCGCTTTGTGATCGTCTCGTTGCACTTGTGGCAAACGATATTCTTGTCCTTCTCACTCATCCTTGTGGTGGCAATTGCTGCTGCTGCTGATGCTGCTCCTATCGAAGCTACGATTTTCGTTTGTTATCGATATTTATCGCACGCGCACAGACAGACACACACACACACACACGCACAGTCGCTCAAAATACACACGCGCGCACACACACACGTACAGAAATATGGGCCTAACTAAGGATATCGGTCAAGGAAAAACGTTGTGTTCTTTTTTTTTCGCAATTTTGACTTTTTTTTTTAATATATATTTATATATATATATATATATATGAATTCGGAAAACGGAACAAAGAAAAACGTGTTAATTTTGTGAGACTCAAAAACTAAATGATATTTTATTGCTGATACGCTTAGGGCTCCGCTTGACAACAGTCTGCGAAAAATGCACAGCCTATTCGGATCGATAAAACAATATGATATGTGCTTTATGATAACAAGGTTGCTTTGCATATCTCCTCGCTTTTCAAAAATATAAATCTAATTTTAACATAAAATAAAAAACAAATTAAGTTTCTTTAAATTTTTTGAAATTTTCAAATTTGCCAAAAAAAAAACGGAGGGTATTTTGAGGTTGTGCTTACGAAGTAGGCATCTCCAACCTTATAAAGTATAAATATTGTGGAGCAGCATCAAAATTCAAGTCATTTCTAGCCAAGTTCGTTCTTCATTTCCAGTTTCTCTATATCATAGGCTTTTCCTGTTTATTTACCTGAAATCGATAAATATCGATCTTCAATACTTGAGCATTTCTCGAATATTAGTTGGAATAGAAGCGCGAAGTTTGTCATCTAGGCTTTTGAAAACCTATTTTTTAGACAGAACATTTGTTTAAAAAATAACTTTGGATCAAATTCAGGTTCTCCAGTTCTTTGAACTAATTATTCGGTTCAAGGTTCAGTTCGTGTTTAAAACGAATTCGAACTGGTTCGGTTTAGAATAGATTTGCAGGCACGAAAGTTTATGAATAAATTTTGAATAGGCAAATTTACTACTTTAATTTCTTGTAAAATGAATAATATAATAAAATAAATAAATTTCAGTTTCAATAAAATTTATAAATCGAAGTCTTTTAATCAGAGAATTCGTTTGAAACATTCGATTTGGTTCAAAACTATGTTCTGCCAGTTCTAGAACTGGTTCAGGGTTCAGTTCTTGGTAAACCAAAAAATTGTATTCGTACTGGTTCGACTTGGCATCGATCTGCAGCTCTGAAATTGTATGAATACATTTTTGAAATTATTTTAAAATTAATAATATTATAATATAAATTTAATTCCCTTGTAATCAATTTTCTGAACTCCTTAATAAAGCCCAAAATAGTGAAATTTTCGTTGTCATTCGAATGACTAAAATGCACAAAATGAACGTATCCTTGCTGTACGCACAATTGTGCTCTGTTCGATCCTTTGAACTTGTCCCAGAAACGTGTGCATGCAATTAGAAAATGTCGCTGCAATTATCGCATGCATTACATATTTAATATGAAATGCTTTTAATAAAATAATTTAATCATAATTATGCAACTGGTAGCCCGGCGACCTGCTCCAGCTGCAGCTTGTCAGCCCGCTCACGCACTCCCTGCATACGCAGACAGACGCCAAAGTGCGCTGCTGCTGCCTGACACAAATTCCCTTTCAACTTGCATAACAAGCTCTCCAGCGTGCCGGCCAAATGGCAAGCCAGAAGAAGCCCCCCCCCCCCTCGAATCCTTCCCCCCCCCTCACACTTTGAAATTCCTTGCAGCAGCAGCAGCAAATGAAATGGTGACATGTTCGCGCTGGCGTTATGAGTGCCAGGCCAAAAACAATGCCAGCCCGGCTACGTGGCGTCCAAGCTGTCAGAGCAGCAACAACAACAACAAAAGATGTGGCACATTCCAGCGGGTGGAGGCGTTCGCCGGATTCGCAACGTGGCCTGCCCCAAGACCCCCCCCACGCACATGTGCCGCTTGTTAATTGCTGTGCCAAGTATTTTGCTTTAATTAAATTTTCTGTTTCTATTTTTTTTTATGTGCAACATTTTTTTATTAATTGCTCAAATTTAGATGTTCGCATTTGGCTGTGGGAGCTTTTGCTACCCTTAAAAGCCTGAGCTCGAAAATTGCTGTGGTGGTTTTTTCCCCGTTTCCTGTTGCTCTGAAGCCAATTTATTAACGGTTCGGGCTGTGACTAATTTTTGGTCGCTTGCATTTCGGAAGCAACTGGCCATAAATTATTGAGGAATATATTATAAAGACATAGATATAGCAGTAAAGATTCGATACTCTTTAAGGCACAACAACGTTCAGTGTTGAAAACAGTGTTGAAAAACTGTAAGCACAGAAGGCTGCTGGTTCAAACCTCAGGCAAGTAGCTTGGCCAGGGACTTATTTAGCGAGTGGATTTTAAGGATTTTAAGTGGATAAGGTATCAACCTTTTCGAACAGAATGCTAGAAGAATAATACTAATATAAAAATCTTTAACTCAATACAAATATTCTTTATAACAATATTTTCTTTTTCCTTCAATGCATATCACACGAAAATATCTTTTGCCCAAATACGCAAGGAACTGAACTTCGTGTGAAATGAAGCTGGGAAATTTTGACACATATCTATATACGAATCTTAGAATAAGATTTTAACATGAATTTCGACTAACAAATATGTGCTCAAATTTGAATGCCAGATTAATGTAGAGGGAAAATCATGAATAAAAAGCCAATCCTCGTAAAAATCGGATGAGATTTGACCGAGTTATGGGTCTGGGAAATTTTGACACATGTCTATGTACAAATCTTGGGGTAAGATTTTGACATGAATTTCGACTAAAAAATATGTGTTCAGATTTGAATGCCGGATTAATCTAGAGGGAAAACCGTGAATAAAAAGCCAATCCTCGTAAAAATCGGATGAGATTTGACCGAGTTATGGGGTTGGGAATTTTGGACACATGTCTATATACGAATCTTAGGGTAAGATTTTAACATGAATTTCGACTAAAAAATATGTGTTCAGATTTGAATGCCAGATTTATCTAGAGGGAAAACCATGAATAAAAAATCAATCCTCGATAAAATCGGATGAAATTTGACCGAGTTATGGGTCTGGGAAATTTTGACCCATGTCTATATACAAATCTTGGGGTAAGATTTTGACATGAATTTCGACTAAAAAATATGTGTTCAGATTTGAATGCCAGATTAATCTAGAGGGAAAACCATGAATAAAAAATCAATCCTCGATAAAATCGGATGAGATTTGACCGAGTTATGGGTCTGGGAAATTTTGACACATGTCTATATACGAATCTTAGGGTAAGATTTTAACATGAATTTCGACTAAAAAATATGTGTTCAGATTTGAATGCCAGATTAATCCAGAGGGAAAATCATGAATAAAAAGCCAATCCTCGTAAAAATCGGATAAGATTTGACCGAGTTATAGGTCTGGGAAATTTTGACCCATGTCTATATACGAATCTTAGGGTAAGATTTTAACATGAATTTCGACTAAAAAATATGTGTTCAGATTTGAATGCCAGATTAATCTAGAGGGAAAACCATGAATAAAAAATCAATCCTCGTAAAAATCGGATGAGATTTGACAGAGTTATGGGTCTGGGAAATTTTGACACATGTCTATATACTTACAAATCTTGGGGTAAGATTTTGACATGAATTTCGACTAAAAAATATGTGTTCAGATTTGAATGCCAGATTAATCTAGAGGGAAAATCGTGAATAAAAAGCCAATCCTAGTAAAAATCGGATGAGATTTGACCGAGTTATGGGGCTGGGAAATTTTGACACATGTCTACATACGAATCTTAGGGTAAGATTTTGACATGAATTTCGACTAAAAAATATGTGTTCAGATTTGAATGCCAGATTTATCTAGAGGGAAAACCATGAATAAAAAATCAATCCTCGATAAAATCGGATGAGATTTGACCGAGTTATGGGTCTGGGAAATTTTGACACATGTCTACATACGAATCTTAGGGTAAGATTTTAACATGAATTTCGACTAAAAAATATGTGTTCAGATTTGAATGCCAGATTAATCCAGAGGGAAAATCATGAATAAAAAGCCAATCCTCGTAAAAATCGGATGAGATTTGACCGAGTTATAGGTCTGGGAAATTTTGACCCATGTCTATATACGAATCTTAGGGTAAGATTTTAACATGAATTTCGACTAAAAAATATGTGTTCAGATTTGAATGCCAGATTAATCTAGAGGGAAAACCATGAATAAAAAATCAATCCTCGATAAAATCGGATGAGATTTGACCGAGTTATGGGGCTGGGAAATTTTGACCCATGTCTATATACTTACAAATCTTGGGGTAAGATTTTGACATGAATTTCGACTAAAAAATATGTGTTCAGATTTGAATGCCGGATTAATCTAGAGGGAAAATCGTGAATAAAAAGCCAATCCTAGTAAAAATCGGATGAGATTTGACCGAGTTATGGGGCTGGGAAATTTTGACACATGTCTACATACGAATCTTAGGGTAAGATTTTGACATGAATTTCGACTAAAAAATATGTGTTTAGATTTGAATGCCAGATTTATCTAGAGGGAAAACCATGAATAAAAAATCAATCCTCGATAAAATCGGATGAGATTTGACCGAGTTATGGGTCTGGGAAATTTTGACACATGTCTATATACGAATCTTAGGGTAAGATTTTAACATGAATTTCGACTAAAAAATATGTGTTCAGATTTGAATGCCAGATTAATCCAGAGGGAAAATCATGAATAAAAAGCCAATCCTCGTAAAAATCGGATGAGATTTGACCGAGTTATGGGTCTGGGAAATTTTGACACATGTCTATATACGAATCTTAGGGTAAGATTTTAACATGAATTTCGACTAAAAAATATGTGTTCAGATTTGAATGCCAGATTAATCCAGAGGGAAAATCATGAATAAATAATCAATCCTTGATAAAATCGGATGAGATTTGACCGAGTTATAGGTCTGGGAAATTTTGACCCATGTCTATATACGAATCTTAGGGTAAGATTTTAACATGAATTTCGACTAAAAAATATGTGTTCAGATTTGAATGCCAGATTAATCCAGAGGGAAAATCATGAATAAAAAGCCAATCCTCGTAAAAATCGGATGAGATTTGACCGAGTTATAGGTCTGGGAAATTTTGACTCATGTCTATATACGAATCTTGGGGTAAGATTTTGACATGAATTTCGACTAAAAAATTTATGATCAGATTTGAATGCCAGATTAATCTAGAGGGAAAACCATGAATAATAAAAATCTGATGAGATTTGACCGAGTTATAGGGATGGGAAATTTTCACCAATATCTATATTTGATTTTTACACGAATTTTGACCAAAAAAACTTTACTAAATTCAAATGCCAAATCGATTTGGCACTTAATGTAAGACAATCTGGCAGCAAAGGTCTTTGATCTCGTCTCGCACTGAAAGTGGAGCTGCGGCTAGGATTGACGCCCGGCCTATGGCAATCGGCAATTAGTATTTACGGTCGCCAATTGAGGTGCTTAATTATGCAATAAGGGTTACGCGGTCGTCCTGGGACACGACCCCGCAGCACATTGAACTTTGCAACGAGTTGGGATTGAGCCATAAAAAAAGACAGTTGAATTTAAGTTGAAATTGGAGTCAGTTGAACGATTTTAGATTGCCATAAAACTATTAAGAGTAAACAAAATAAATACAATTACAACTAGAACTAATTAGAGTAGATATATGGATATATGGATATATGTGTATATGTACAGAACGATTAATTTCAAATCAACTAGAATTAAGGACTCAATATGCGTGTCGATGCTTGTCCTTGTTGCTGGGCTTCTTCGAGGAGATGAGTGTGCGGCGTTTCAAACGCTTCAGCTTTGTCTTCTCACGCTTGCGCATCTTCTCCTGGGCCACCTGGACAATGGTGTCGCGCAGCTTTAGTCTGTATTTCATCAGATTGTTCAGTTCATTGCCGAGTCCCTCGTGCTCCATGGGCGCCAGATTCTCATCGTTGGCATCCTCGTCGTCCGTCAACAGCGCCAATTGGCTTTCAGCCCAGGCTGCATCGTCGTCCAGAAATCCCTGCGGGCGCGGCAGCTGCGACTCCTGCTGCTTGAGCAGCTCCTCGGTGAGCAACAGTTTCGAGGTGGCCCACTTCACCACATGATGATCCTTCAGTGCCATTTGCTGGCGATAATGAAACAGATGCAAAGTCACATTGGCCTTGGGATATGACTCCTCCTCCTCCACCTCGCCCTCCTCCTGCTGTTCCGTCGCGGCTGAATCTTCAGCTGGGCTGCTGCTGCTGCTGCTCACCGCTGGCATTGGTTGGACCACGGCCACGGGCCTATCGCAGGATACTTTTGCTTCCAGTACATTGCCCATCTTGGTGCCTTACCAGTTCAATTATCACTGACAGCTGCAGCTAATATGCGCCCCGAATATATATACGATATATAGGCTATATGCTGGACAAAATAGATTATAAACTTTTGGCGGGTCGAGCGCAGGTAGACTTCGGCTACCTACTGATACTTTTGGGAACACCTGGTGCTGGATTAGCGAACGTTTTCGAAAACCCCTAAATATCTGGAAAAACAATCATAAATTGTTTTAGGCTTCTTATAGTCTAGGGTTGCCGCAGTGCTAATAAGTTTCCCCTTTCGACTTCGGTTTCGGCAATTTTTCCAGAAGACGTGAATTCGTTGCGCTCTTTTTACGATATTTAACCAGAAATTCAAATATATTTATGTATGCTACAAAGCTCTAGAGTACTACATTTTAGCAAGTTTTTACATAGATTAATTCACACGCCTGCTAAGTCAGTAAATTTTGACTTGTTGATTTTTAAGAACGTTTCCTAAAGCGCATTTTTTTTAAAGAATTAATTAACATTGTTCGTATCTAACCAAAAAGTTAGGTTAGGCACGCGTTTGCACTTTAAGTAAAGCTAATATTCATATTAAAATGTTATCAAAAATTTAAGCATCTAAGCTGTCAATTTGATTTGCTTAAAATATACCCAACTTTCACTTTTACAAACATTACTGCATCAGGTTCGTATCTAACCTAAAAGTTGGGAGAAGTCATTGTCTGTACTTGAAATATATATTAAATTCTCATTATTATATTTATATTATATATTATTATTATTATATCAGGATTTTAAGCTACTTAAGACTCTACCAAAGCCATCAACTTTTACAAGCTTTCCCTGATCTAACCTCAAAAAGTTCTGCCCAATCTGCAAGTTAAAATTATTTTAAATATCTCTAATGCAGCCAAATTTACATATTCATCAAGAATTTTAGCAAATGAATATTAAAGTTAATTGTCAGAAAACGCTATCCAAATCATAAATGCATAAGTTCGACAGCCTAACCTCAAAGGTTCGTACCTAACCTGCAAAGTTGTAAAAAGAGCAAGTGTGAAATTATAATATATGCACACACTTGCAATTTCGTCAAGTACTTGAGCAGGGGAACATGTAAATTGATTTTGAGCTAATCTCAAGCGCATATCCAAATTGTTGTTACCTAACCTCAAAAGCACGTACCTAACCTACAATTTGGGTTGAGTGCACGTGTGGCGTTTCCATACTGAACTGTTCACAATTTCGTCTAGGATTTGAGCAAGTGAATTGTACAGTTGATTTCGAACATAATATTCGACCCAAATATTTTACAAATCCCGTACCTAACTTCAATTGTTTATTACCCAACCAGGCAAGTTGGGACACGCACACGTGTGCAGCAAGTTGGCAGGTCAATTAAGCTGCGGCAATCCTACCTGTGCCTGGATATATATCCAGGCTTATATAAGCGGGTTAACATGTCGCCAAATGCAGCACTCGCTTCTGAACGCCCGTTGGCCATGGACCAGAAGACAACGCAGCTGTTGATGTTCCGCGCACCGTTGGACGCACAAAGTCAACTGTTCATATTCAATTCGCCCATCGACTATTCGGATCAGCAGCTGATTGTGTATCAATATTCCGGCATGCTGGACGGCGACAGTGGCTATTGTGTGGTCTATAAGCGGGATCATTTTATCATCAACAATCCGCCCAATTATCAGAGTCCCACGAAGCGCAGTTTCCTCAACGAGTGCATCCGTCAGCTGTATATCATCAATGGACTGGCCCACCAGCTACACTGGGCGCCGAACACATCGCTGGCCAGCCGCCAGGAGCTGTGGCAGCAGGTCGACCTTTGCCTGCAGCCGGAGCGTCTGAGCGCGCAAAGCGCCAGCCTGCAGCGGGTCAAGCGGCAGCTGTTCCGGGAGACGCGGCGTCGCCGCAAATGCACGCCCAGCGTGCGCGGCCAGGTCTGGGGCACGCAGGTGTTCTACTTCAAGCCGATGCGCTCGAAGCTTGGCCGTCGGCACATACGTCGCGGCTACATGACCGTGGCCAGACATATTGTGCTCCAGCAACTGATACGTGAGAATCTGAAGCGTGAGATGATCCACACGCCCGCCGTATGCCAGAGCGTCATCAACGCCGCCGAGGGCATATTCAACATGAATGCCGGTGTCATCAGCGAGATATGCAGCTATCATCGGAGCGCTGCACGCCATCAGCCCGCCGTCAATTGTCACCTGAGCGACGCTGAGCTGCGGCTGCGCAACAACGAGGCCTGCCAGCTGACGCAGCGTGCCAAGCGGCTGGAGGCGATGTTTCTGCACGAGCAAGTGCGTCGCGCCGTACAGAATCATCAGCTCATATTGGAGGAGTCCGTGCGTTCCATATACTATGCCAAGCAGCTGTTTCGTCTGATTGAGGATCACGAGGAGTTCGTCTATACGGACAAACAGATAATGGGGCGAGGCTGTTGTTAGATCACCTTTCTCATCCTCTCTCTCTCTTTATATATGTAAAAATATATTTGTTGTAAGCATTAACATAAGTAGTTTGTATAAAAAATTTAAAATGCATAACACTATACACAATTCATTGTTATTATTGTTCCTCGGTTCCAAGTCGATGGAGGCACGGCATTTCTAAGATTTCACTGCCTTTTGCTCTTCTATCAGCTGGGAATGTACACCCATAAGGCTCTGCAAAAAGAATAGGTTTCTTCTTGTTAATTATATTATATAATCTAATCTGCGGCCTATCCTACGATTTTCTCTGTCGCTTCTATAGATTTTTCAAATATGTTCTACTTTATCCAAGACAAAAATATTCGAATCGTAAATTCGGGACAATCGTGTGCATCGCAATGTATTCAACACTTTTCAATTATACAAAATAAAAATATATATAGATATATATAGATTACACAATATTTTTCCAAGATTTCTTAGCTACCATCTTATAACAAGTTCTATCCAAAATTTGTCTCTGACATTCTTATTTGTATAAAGCAATAAAGTATCTAAGCATTTAGAGCAATATATATTATTTATGTTATGGGCAGCTAATCCTCTTAAAAGAGTTACCCATTTCGCTATAGTTCCTGCAAGTGCATAAACATATCCTGGCTGCCTTCTAATATACTTTGTATTACTTCGGCTATCTTCGTAATATTTTTGATTCTTCTTATTTATTCATCCATACGCTTTTTTAGCTCTTGAAAGTCTTCCCACTCACAGTTTCTGAAACATTTCTTGAGTTTCAATGGTTTTAATAGTTTTCAATTGAGTTTCTTTTAAACAGTCTTTAGATTCATTTGCTTGAACAGTCTGAAAATATTATGTATTATTTTAAACAACTTAAGTACTAAAACTTCAAGCCTTGCATTTAATACAATTACCTAGCAGCCTGTTGTGGATTACTCATCCTACGAGCTGTAGCTCTCAATGCAGTCGTAGCTCTAATTAATTATAGACTATCCTCTAAGTGTATACTATTCAAAAACAGTCCCAACCACTTTGGTTATACATTACATTTGAAGGCTGTGTTACCCTCCTGGGAGGCACCGGCATTTGTATCTCTTAGTATGCCCTGTGAAATTATGAAAAACATATGGCAGCCAGACATTAGCATCGTATATCCTCAGCGATAAGACTAACCAAGTAAACCCAGTTTTTAGAAGCAACAGCAGCTATTGGATTAGTATATAGTATAAGCTTAAGCTAACAGAACCAACACCTTGTCAAGCTAAATGTATATATATCCCGTGTATATCCTATTTATATCCAGCAGCCGAATCGAATGCCAACTAGCTACAATTGCAGTTGCCTGGCGCATACCTGGAAATATTTGACCGTCTTTACGCGCAGCTCCAGCGTCGCATCCTCATCGCAGATCATCAATGTATTTGCATGCTGCTGGAATGCGCTGACAGTCCACATATGATTGACGCCCTCCTCGATGGCCTTATACAGAGCAAAGGCCTTGTGGGCGCCGGTAATCAAGATCATGACCTCATTCGAATCCATGACGGTGCCGACGCCCACAGTGAGCGCCTGTTTGGGCACTTTGCTAATGTCATTCTCAAAGAAACGGGCATTCGCCTCCAGCGTATCCTGTGCCAGTGTCTTGACACGTGTGCGCGAGACCAACGATGAGCCGGGCTCATTGAAGGCTATATGGCCGTCGGGTCCAATGCCGCCAATGAATAACTCTACGCCGCCAGCTTCCTTGATCAGCTCCTCAAACTGTTTGCACTCGGCAACCAAATCGGACGCATTTCCATCCAATATATGCACATTCGCGGGCTCGATATCAATGTGCTTGAAGAAATTGTGCCACATGAAATAGTGATAGCTCTCGGGATGATCACGCGGCAGACCTGCAAAGTGCATGCTTTAGCCCTCTATATAACTTTATAAAAACAAATCGCTTGCACTTACCCACATACTCATCCATATTGAAGGTCTTCACATAGCGAAAGGAGACCTTGCCCTGTTTGTAGAACTCAATCAGGGCTCTGTACATGCCCAAAGGTGTGCTACCCGTGGGCAGGCCCAACACAAAGTATCTGTGGGATTGAAAGAGATATAGATTACATATATATCTGGACAATGTTGATAAGACTCACCTATCGGGTCCCGGCTTGAAATCATTGATCCGCTTGACCACATACTTGGCCGCCCAATTGCCAACCGATTCGCTTGTTTCCAAGATAATCAAACGCATGTTCTCTACTTTTATTATTTAGTACTGAAAATTTTGAGTATAATTTAAGTGTTTGATTTGTTTCATGCATTCTGATTGTGGATAAGATTAGCTGCGGCATGTACATTGTAAGTAGGTTAGGTATTTATAAATTTCTGTTGTTAAACTGTTATTTGACTAATTTTGAGCATCGATACAGTGGGCACTCGATGCAGTTATTGGTATAATTAATTTTGCATTTAATATTATTAGTTGTTTCATTTCAATGTTATAACGAGTTCTTCGTTGTAGGGAATTTATCTTTTTACGACACATTTTCCACTTTCACAAGCACAGATCAGCTTTATTTATCGATAACCCACTGTATTCACTTTCGTTCTCAATTATGAAGAATGAGTGAGTGAGTTAGTGAGTGAGAGAGAGAGAGACAGACATTTGCACTTGAATTGCCATGGAGGACACTTGACGGTCGCCAAGCAGCTCACGTCCACTCACCTGAGCAAGGCTAACGAATATAGTTTCAAAAAATATTGTATTTAACAATAAACAAAGGCACGCACTGGCTATCGCAGTTGGCTGAACAAATAGCGAGCGCACCTGGAGCGTTCGAATCGCTGACGAGACTGGCGAACAAGCTGTGGGTGCCGCTTCAATTTGGCTGCCAATTTATATACAATAATAATCGCGATTAGCTCTTGCTTATACGCGCTCTTTGCGATAAAGAGAATACGCGAAGCTGCAATTCAAATAACATAACCTTGAGATACTTTCTGGCCGGCCTTATCGCGTCGCGTTGTTTGCAAGCCGCTATAAACTCTAAGGGGTACCACACAACTCTACGCATTTATCAGTTGCAGCGTCAGTTTAGCTGCAGCCACAACCGACAACTGAACGAAAAAGAGACAAGAACAACAAATTTAAATAGCGCTTAATATGCAGCAACAATAGTTGAATGAACTTGACGCTGTCAAAATGAGTGAGTACATTGGTGGGCAACAACGCTGTGCGGTACTCTTATTTTGTTTTTGAGTGGCTTAACTTATTGGCGTTGCCAGATGGTGAGCACAGTTGAGTCAATAGCCAGTCACATGCATACATACAAAACACACAAATGTCCAAAAATAACTCAACACGAAACGAGAAGCACGCAGCTAATACATGCCCTACAACAAGTCTGGTTAGTTTGCACAGCAGCTTGGACCGCAAATCATATAAGATGAGTGCAAACGTTTTTATGAAACATTTTTATTTATATAGCAGTTACATTATAGGCTTAAGTTTAAAATTTAATAGTTAGGCTCTTTATATTCTTTTTTTAAAGAATAGTTGTGTCGTGGCCACACCCACGTTGAGCTGATTTTGTTGCACACAGAAAAAAAACCGGTTCAGCGGCCAAGAACCTACAAAAACAATCTAATGAGCACCAACAAAGGGAGAGTTTGCCTACGAAATTTCGACTCATTTTAAAAATATATTGCAGACTTTCTCACTTACATAGCTGTTTATGAGTGTGCTCTTCTGTTATATAGAACTGTATTATATGCTCTGCGCGTACAAAAAAATACTCTACATATATAATGTACATGTGTGTATATGTTGGGGGGCGGGCGGGCGGAAGCTCAACAATATATGTTGTTACATTTTTACTGATTTTTATTGATATTTTCGTTTAATTAGTTTTAACATGAGCTCGTCGTAGTATGTTTAATTTTCTGCTTATAAAACTATATATATATTTATAAGTATATTTATATTTAAATGAAGAAGAAGCTCCAAATGCATCGAAAATGCTGTCAACTCAGCATTTGCAAAGCACTTGAATGCACAAGTACAAAAAATTATCGAGTTGAATATTGAGTATTTTTTGTAAATTCTATGTGGCATATGTATGTGCAATTAAGCAACATAATTAAATATACCAAATAAAGTTTACAAAACTTGCTTATTGTTAAATTAAGATTGTACGTGGGTGGGTTTTTTTTTTGGGGTTTGCTTTTTCAATATAAAAAAATCTGAATTCGAACATGTAACGTAAATTATTTGTCATTTTTGTTGATAAACACAAAGGAAATGTTGTGGGCGAGTGGGTTGGGGGGGTTTCTTAGGTAAAGCACAGAAATTATATAGTAAACATGTGGAAGAATAAAGACATGAAATTATTCTGCAAGTTTTACAATTGAATAAATTAGTTGCTTGGCTTCTGTTTTGTTTGTTGTTTTCCTTTCTTTTTCTTTTTCTTTTACTACTTAGGGTAGCCACAAAAATAATAACTTAGATGATAATATACTTCTGTCTGTTTGTTTTGTTTATTTGTTTGTTGTTGTTTGTTTGTGTGTGCTTGTCTGGCTGTGTATCATTATATGCTCGGCTGCTATTACATAATCGCGCACTTCTCGCCCCCCTGCTGGGGATCGCCCTGCTGATGGTACAGCTGCTCGTTGCCATCAACGGCGCTGACACTGCGCCGACGGCTGAGACGTGTGGAGGACACATGTGTGGAGACAATGCGCTTGATGCGCTCCAAATTGGCAACCGTTTCACCATCGCCATTCAACAGAGTCGTCTTTGTATTGTCGCCCGTAATCCACTTTTGTTGCTTCATCACGATATTGGATGGTGGCTCGTGCGTGGCCCTCGAGTCGGATGACCAAACGGTCACCGTGGCGTTCGGTTCGATTTTAACCGAACGATGGAACTTGTAGGTTGTCGCCGGTCCGGAATCATTAATTGAACGCTGCAGCTGCCAGCCGCCAATGGAGACTTCGTCGTTGCCCTTGTTGTACAGCTTCACGAATTTTCCCTCGGGATCGATCTCTTTGATTTCTATGTTGCCCTTGGCACTGGCAGACACATAAAAATCGGATACACTGCGATCCTCTGACTCATCGACAACGGCACGCTTCCGCTTCAGTGCGCCCGATGGGGTGCGACGTGAGGGCGTGGCACGGGTGCTGCGCAACGATTGACTGAACGATTGTACGGTAGCCGAATTGGCGGGCGTTATATTCAGACGCGCCTCCTCGCCCACCAACAGCTTGTCGTAGGCAGCGATTTCCAAATCCAAAGAGACCTTAAAATGGTAACAAAAGGATTAAGTTTAAGTAGTGAAGGGATCCCGTAGTTCCAACCCACCTTGATGTCCATCAAGTCCTGATACTCCTGCAGCTGATGTGCCATTTCCTCGCGCAAACGCAGCAGCTCCTTTTCGAGCATTGCAATATCATTGCCATGACGCTCGCGATCAATGTCCAGCTGCTGTTCCAGCTCACGTATGCGGGCATTCAACATCGCATTGGTTGACTCCAGATCATTGATTTTAGCATTGAGTCCATCGATGCGGATGCGCGAATTGCGCAGCTCCTCGATGGACTTGTGCGATGAATTGTGGGTGCGCGAGGCCGCATCCTGCAGCGAACGTATCTTGGCCTCGTACAGGGATTCGATGTCTTCACGATTGCTGCGCATCTGCTCTTCGTATTGGCTACGCAGCTCGTGCAGCGATTGCTGCAGCTTGGCCTCATACTCGGACGACAGACGTCCATCGATTTCGCTGTATTCGGTTTGACGTATGCGACGCGATTCGTTAATCTCCTGGACGTGCACTTGATCCTTGAGGGAGAGCTCCTCACGCAAACTCTGTATATTGTTCTCGAGATCAACGCGCGCCAATGTCTCCTGTTCGAGATTCTTGCGCGAGTCCTCTAGATTCTTACGCAGACGGTCTAGCTCCTTTAGCGCCTCATTTAAATCATCAACTGCCTTCTTGCGATCGGCATTGGCCTGGGTATATTTATTGCTTAGTTCATTGGCACGCGACTCAAAAATGCGGGCATTGGCTGGGGAGGTAAAGGCAGGGGTTGTTTATTGTGATTAATGGCTATGTTGTTCATAAACTCACCCTCAGCAGCGCTGCATTCCTTGGTCTTTTTATCCAGACGCGAGGTCAGCTCCTCATTCTCTTCCCACAGGCGCTTGGTATCAATCTCTAGACGTGCACGTTCGCGTGCCAATTCGTCGAGCATGCGACGTGCTTCGAGCAGTTCCGTCTCATAGATATTCTTAATGTTGGTCGTCTCTCTGGTAACGGTGTCACGTGTCGTTTGCACCTCAATGCTGAGACGTGAGTTCTCCGTCTCCAGATTGCGCACACGATCTATATAACAGGCCAGACGATCGTTCAGATTCTGCAGCTCGACCTTCTCGACGAGGCGCGAGTGGCGCGTGGGGCTTAACGGGCTGCTCGCCTGTTGCTGCGACTGCGACGACGTCGACTGTTGCTGCGGCCCAGATGATGGGGGGCGCGGGGTCGAGGTGCTGCCGGGCTGCGGCGTCGCGGTGCCAGCGCGTCGAGATTTAGACGACATTTTTACGGTCACTTGCTGCTGCCCAAAGATACGTAATGGAAAATATAAAAAATTTGTTCACACATAAATATTATGCAAATCCATTTTAAAGCAGACTTTAAACTCACCTTATTATGCTTATGCTTTTATAGCTCGAGATATTTTTGCGCGCAATCGTTCGCTTTGGCCTGATAAAATTCCAAACAGAAACAGAAATATCAGAAATAAGAAGAAAAAAAGCACTCAAAATACGAGCGGAACGCGAGAAAGAGCGCAATGAAAGCGAAACTAGTTTCTCTGCTACTATTGCACTCTTTGAGCACAAAACAAGTTTCTCCACTCAAGCGACTGTACTAAAGCGAACGAACGAAAAAAAACAATTGAGTGACTTTTGCGGCGTTTTGTTTATGGGCGTGGGGTAAAAATACGCGGGTGCGGCAGCATAACGCTCGTTAAATATATTAAATGCAAACAAATGTATTTGTTGTAAAAATGCTTTTAACTGCTGCACTCAAAATTTGTTGCATGAAATTGCACAATATGGCGTTTTTAATTCACAATTTGCCTTTTCACAGCGGCATTTTGTTGCAGCTGCAGGGGGGCAAGCGCAATGGCAACTTTGAGAGGGAAACATCAACTAGGAAACTCTTGCACTTTTCACTGCCTCTGCCTGTACGTAGTTCACAAAACGACACTTCGAAAATTTAATGAACTTACGTGGATATTTATATTTATTTGTACGTTGCACAAGTCTAAGGCAAAAAGTTTTATTGCCCTCAGAAAACGCGGCCGACGTGAATCTCCGTTGAGTAGACTGACGCTGACACTATCGATATTTTCGCGTAACTATGGTAACTATCGGTCTATTGCGTATGCAACTCTGCAATTGATGAAGATGAAACAGTGGTATCGGTAAATTCGCCTTAACTTGCAAATGCAATACAATTTAAGCCTTCGAAAATATATTTTGAAATCGTTGTTTTATAATTGATAGACTTTTATAACTTTTTTGACTGATGATGCTTGTATATCGAATACATGACTAGTGCGTCTATCGAAAAGGTACATCGATTACGATAGTGAAATTTACACTCTACATTATCGACGTCACGTTCAATATCAACTTCAATATCAGCGTAGCTTTTTAAACTAGCTGACAAATATTTATTACTCTTAGCAAAATATAAATAAGACAACGTGCAAAAGGTAAGTGCATTTGCCATATGTCAAAAGTTATGAAGTTGAAGAAGAAAATATGTATAAAGTGTTTCGCAATATTTTGTAAGACGGCTGTGTGATTCAGTGTAATGAAAAACAAGATGGCGGAGCGCATATGCCGGTTTGGCATATAAAAACGCGGCATTTGCGGTACATACAGGCACATGTAACTTACAAGAGCCATTTTTTTTTCACAGAATTAAAAACAGTTCTTGCTAAGCATATAACGCACAGAGAAATAAGAAAAAATGGCCGATAATGACGATCTTCTCGATTACGAGGATGAGGAGCAGAACGAGACCACTGCCGTTGAGAACCAGGAGGCACCAAAGAAAGATGTCAAGGGTACTTATGTATCCATACACAGCTCGGGTTTCCGTGACTTTTTGCTAAAGCCTGAAATATTGCGTGCAATTGTTGACTGCGGTTTTGAGCATCCATCCGAAGGTATGTAAAGCGTACAGTTGTGCCTGTGAGAAGTTTTTTATGTATTTGTATGTGTAACACTTGCAGTTCAGCACGAATGCATACCGCAGGCTGTGCTCGGCATGGATATCCTGTGCCAGGCCAAGTCCGGTATGGGCAAAACGGCTGTCTTTGTGCTCGCGACACTGCAACAGCTGGAGCCATCCGATAATAACACCTGCCACGTCTTGGTCATGTGCCATACACGCGAACTGGCATTCCAAATAAGCAAGGAGTATGAACGTTTCTCCAAGTATATGCCCACAGTAAAGGTATGTACAGTTAAACCTATCCCAAAGTTTAGGGCTTGCTTTACTTACCTTTGTTCTGGACAGGTGGCTGTATTCTTTGGCGGTCTAGCGATTCAAAAGGACGAGGAAACTCTAAAGAACGGCACACCCCACATTGTAGTTGGCACACCTGGACGTATTTTGGCTCTCATCCGCAACAAGAAGCTGAACTTGAAGCATTTGAAGCACTTTGTACTTGACGAATGTGACAAGATGTTAGAGCAGCTGGGTAGGTTTTATTTGATATATTTTTAAAATGCAGGTATGCCTATACATATATAATTTTTCTTTGACAGATATGCGTCGGGATGTGCAGGAGATTTTCCGTAGCACACCACACGGCAAACAAGTTATGATGTTTTCCGCCACTTTGAGCAAAGAGATTCGTCCCGTTTGCAAAAAGTTTATGCAAGATGTAAATATCTTCGTCGCACTTCTACTACTACTACTATTACGACCACTAGCTATAATAATATATTGCGAAAGCACGCACGCCATACAAATCAACCTAAATACTACCAAAAAACAATTGTCACACTTTCTGCCTTATACCTAAATCAGTTAACCTTCTTGTAACTGGTTAAAACGCGTTAATTGTAAATGTTTACGAGCACAATCCTATTAACCATATTTTGTAAATGGTTAAACGTTGCAATATCTTGTCTATGATTGCCAAACACCATTTTCTAAATGGTTAAACGTATAAATACAAACCGAGCTGGCGCTATGAGCGCATAACATATACAAAATCCTTGTCCATAACTATCATAAACCATTTTCCAAATGGTTAAACGCGTGAAATGCAAACGATAACACGCCAAGTGCGTATGAAATATACCAAAACTTTTGCCTATAAAACTCAAACCATTTTCTAAATGGTTAAACGCGAAATACAAACGTCAAACTACCAAAAATAACAAAGAATAAATTTTAAATCGCAACCAAAAATGCAACCAACAAAAATATGCAAAATGCAAAAAAAAAAAAAAAAATCAACAGCAGTCGCACAAACGATACTGAAAACGATTATGATACTTCCCACGAAACGCCTGATGTCCACATGGAGCGCTAGCTACCCTGTCGCACAGCTTTTGAGGTGAAGATAGACGCTACAGATGCGCAGCAGTGGCGGCAGCAAACAACAACATTAATATACCCGTACATACATACTAGTTGATGATGATGTTGGTTTTTAGCGTGGCCGTATGTAGAATTTGTAGGCGTACCCTAGCTTAAGTTTCCATTTGCATTTATCAAATTTAATTGTTTTTCTCTTAAAATGCAAACAAAACCCATTTCCAATATTTCAATAGCCCATGGAGGTGTACGTCGATGATGAGGCCAAACTGACGCTGCACGGCCTGCAGCAGCACTATGTCAATCTTAAGGAGAACGAGAAGAACAAGAAGCTGTTCGAATTGCTCGACGTGCTCGAGTTTAATCAAGTAATATCTTCAGACTTTTGACTTCATAATCTCTCATCTATTTTATATGGTATACTCATCGGTATTCTCGCTCTAGGTTGTCATCTTTGTCAAGTCTGTGCAACGTTGTGTGGCTTTGGCGCAGCTGCTGACCGAACAAAACTTTCCGGCCATTGGCATTCATCGCGGCATGAATCAGGATGAGCGTTTGAACCGTTATCAGCAATTCAAAGATTTCCAGAAGCGCATCCTGGTTGCCACAAATCTCTTTGGACGCGGCATGGATATTGAGCGTGTGAATATTGTATTTAACTATGACATGCCGGAGGATTCGGACACATATCTGCATCGTGTGGCGCGTGCTGGTCGTTTTGGTACCAAAGGTCTGGCCATTACCTTTGTCTCCGACGAGAACGATGCTAAGATACTTAACGAAGTACAGGATCGTTTCGATGTCAACATTAGCGAGCTGCCCGAGGAAATTGATTTGTCCACATACAGTAAGTGCTTAATTAAGTTTTAAATTTTTCGTTGTTATAATCTTTCGTGCTTCACTTTACAGTTGAGGGACGCTAGTCATAGCGCGTGGACCATCAGAACATTTAAGATCAGCATAAGACAGTAATGCAACTATATAACAAAAGATACCAATTTTTATAAAATTTACTTTATAACTAATAAACTACAATCCAAACAACGTGTTAATGTAAAATAATATAAATTCATTTGTTTTGATTCTTTTCTTTTTGTTGTCATGCATATCTAAACGGGTTGCGATATCCTTAGTTTCTTTCTATAATGATTTGCAAGATCCAAATAGTTTATTATGAGCAGTTGGCAATCGTCGTTAAGGTTCTATACCATCTTGCAGGCTTATATGCGACAGGATATAACAGTTTGTATAACTGTTTTTTGATGTTTGGTTTAGCGCTGTTTTGATTAGAGATGAGCGATTTTCGCACAACCCGTTGCACTTAACAAGTACTTAAAAATCGATACCTTTTAAGTCGATGCTAATATTTAAATGATTTTTTTCAGTTGAATTATGAATTATATACAACAATTATTTCGGCTTAAAGGATACAGATTTTCTACCGAGCTTTGAAGGTTATTACCTTGCGAAGAGCTACGCGTTTAGTTTTTAAGAATATTTTAATTTATACTACTACTTGCTGCTAGACAATTAAAATCTTATGTGGATCTTCGTTTCAGGTTCCCTAAGTATTAATACCTTCTCCTACTTATGTTAGAGAAAAGTAGAACAATAGATAAATAGATACGATTCAGGTTTTCTAAGGATATTATTCTTCTACTGATTAGGTACTGCATAAGCTTACATAAAACTTCCTTAAAAGAACCGATTCCGCATTTAAGAAATGTAAGCTTGGCAAAAACATTAAAATTGTGAATGACTATTATATAAAAATTAAATAAAACTAATCCAATCTATAAGTTTGAATGTCCAGTTTATATATTGGGATTTTGAAAGTCTGTTTTAGGACATGCGCAAAACGGCTTGAGTTTCCGGCGGTTTCTGTCATGTGTAGGGTTACCTAAGGGCTGGTCCTTGGAGGGGGAGGGGATTGTATAAAAGCGAAAAACAGAAGAAGCAGAGACTTGGCATTAACGACAATCGGCCAAAGCCATGTGAAAAACAAATTCGAGTTAACAAAATGCTGTTAAAAAAATATGTTAAAACGCGCCGCAAGGTTAAGATTCTGCTGCTGGTCACAATTGTGGCCCTGATTGTGATCACCTGCATCATTTTGCTTGGCACGTCGGGGGCACCAAATAGTGCGACAATTGAGCGTCTGCTGGACGAACGTTTCATTGCGCGCGCCTATCAGCCGCAGTCGGAGCAACTGCAGCCGCAGCAGCCGCGGGAGCAGGCGGTTGCCCTGCTCCAGTCACATCGCGAACATGGCGTTATTGTGCCGGAAAAGTATGACGAGCAAAAGATCAAGACGCGCATCATGCAGAACCGCCTGCAGCAGGCGAAGCAGCAGCAGCAGCAAGACGCTGAGGCGGAGCAAGCGCGCACCACGGTGGATGCTCTGGCCACAGCTGTTCACATATTCTATACGGCTCCGGTGCCCTGGTACAAGTCCAAGAAGCCGCCACTGCCGCAGCCAGAGCATCCCAATGAAGTTGCACTGCCGCTGACCACACCAAGGCCGGTTAAGATACTGAATACGGCTTTCTATCCGGCCCTGGGCTTGTATAAGCCCACCGTCAAGCTGCTGGGCCAGCACATGGATAACATACGCAGCTGTGGCATTGGCGTGATCATACTAAGCTTTGCCCGGCCGTCGGATCCGGCGCTATTGCATCAAATCATTGACCTGGCGCCGCAGCATAATCTCAGCGTCACCTTTGAACTCAGCGTGGCGGGCAATCGTACGCTGGAGTTTGTGCGCCAGCAGTTGCAGGATATTGCCGCGTATGTGGAGCTGCCGGGCTTTTATCGCGTGTGGAGCCAATCGCGTGCCGCATTGATGCCCGTGCTCTATGTGAGCAATGCGTACAAGCTGAGCGAGAGTTTAGGCCGTCATCTGTGTCGACCCACGGTCCAGGAGCTGGCGGAGCAGCAGCAGGTGCCTCCAGAAACAGGTGGATTACGGCGTGTGCTGGATGCCTTCTTCATTGGGCACATCAGGTGGGCTGTTTTTACATCTAACCCGATCCAACTAACCCTTTAACCATTCGACAGACTTAAAAGCCATGCGGATGTTCTGCGTCGTTTATGCTTCGATGGATTCTACAGCAAATTGCCGAGCAATGGCGCCGTCTTTGCCAGCACCTGGAAGAACTGGTCGTATCTCAAGTCATATGCCCTGTCCTACAAAATGCTTTTTGTGCCAACAGTGGGTCCAGGCTTTGCGGAGCGCAATAAGTTTCCACGTCATGGAGATATACAACGACACAGGAGCAATGGGCGCGTAAGTTGAAGCAGTTCCTTTATTCAACATTACCCTGTAATTAAAATGGATTAAAGCGGGTATAATGGCTTTGACCAAATGTATGTACTTGGCAAAAGGAGGCATATCCAAAGATTGGATTCCAAACCCGTTCGTTCGTCCGTGGCCGTGTTAAACACGTCCTTAAGAGCTAAACTCAATTTATCGAACTCGATAAGAATCGATTAACATTTAAAGTTTGTTTTGCCTATCGCGGAGGTAAGAGAGAGAGAGAGAGAGGCGCCAAACTTTGTATATTACCCTTTTTGGATACCATCTCTAACTCTTCAATCAAAAGAGGTACTCGCAAAGTTGAGCATTACTGGAGTTATTCGAGAAGTGAGAAAAGAAGAAGCTCAAATCCTGCCTAAAGTGCGGTATATGTTTAGGGCATCTTCTAGTCGGGCAGCCTCGACTAGAGCACTCTTAATTACTTTCATAAATTTCCCATTTCAATTTGCAGTACTATGGCGTGGCCTGGCGCACAGCCATACTGAACCATGTGGGCTTCATCAACATAGCCAGCTATAATAATTGGCCGGATGGCAGCCAAATCGAGGAGGTTGTGCCACGCGCCGGTTTTCTCGATTACAATCCGGGCTCGCGGACCAAATATCTGGATCTAACGGCCCACTGGGTGGGTAATTTTCTAAAGACGCGCCAAGAGGCTGCCGCGGCGGCAGCGGGTGCGCCCCAGAACTGTTACGAGCTGCTCAATAATACAATTTGTTGAGACGGACGTTTATGCGCGTGCAATTCGTGATCAAGGAAATCACCAAACAACTCATATCGTCGATTCAATTTGTTGCCTTAGCCATGGAGGAGGAGCAGTCAGTCGTAGCTTCCATTTGATGCGCGTGCAAAATGTGCGCGTTTACTTTAAAAGCAATCAAATGCAATTGCCGGAAAAAATTACTTTCTTACTGTTAACAAGTCTTCTACTAACTAAAAAATGCCTATATAGCAACCTATACAATTATCTATGTATCTGCCAAAAAGTATAGAAAAAGTCTATTTAAAGTGCAAGCAATATATAATTAGGTAAAAATATGTAACTAGGGCCTGGTCATTAAACAGAGCCAAATTATTTTTTAGCTTTTGATTAGCATTATTAACAAAAACAAAAACAACAATATCATAACATAAAGCCATGCCATATTATATACATATATACACATTTATATATAGAAAATGTAGCAACTACTAAATATTTGTTAAACATAAAAATTTATTAACACTTGTTAAACGAAGGTACTTACCAAATTTTATCTTTATTACAAGTAAAATTTAAATATAATATATATATATTTAACTATGTAATTAGTTTAACTAAGCTTTAATAGATTAACTAGTGCGATACTATCATTAATTACAAACATTTATTATCATAATGCAAAACAAACCATTTTCATGGGCTTAATAAGGGCGCCGCGTGTAAACGAACATTTTACAACACTTGCGTGCTCCCGCAAGGAGTACACGCCGCCCATAGGCAACGGTAATGTTTTATGCCGTTATTCGCAATTTGATGTTTTTTTTTCGGTAGCAATTTCCGTTTGAAAATGACATACAAAATTTATAGCAAGTGTTTGCATATTATTAATAGGCAAGAAATATGACAGAAATATGAATATGACTTCATGGAAAACTCGACGAATCTAGCTCCTAAACTGTAAAAGGTATACACCGTCGCAATATACCCGGCTTCAGGTGAGCGTATACCAAAAATCATAGCTCTATATAACGCGGGTCTATACCAATATATTCGAAAGCCTCTGTCCAAAAATAATTTGCACAAAACAAATATACTCTTCTCCACCTGGAAAGCAGAGTAGCATAATAATAAATGACAGCAGCTGTCAGGCGTATAGCAGAAAATATTTGAAAAAGAAAATAAAATAGAATGTCCCAGGTAAGGTCGGGTAATTACTTTAACAAAGAGCAATCAAAGCGACAGCCCAAGCAACAGGCGCCCAAAGGCTGCTGCTGCAAGCGTTCGCAATGCATTAAAAATTACTGCGATTGCTATCAATCCATGGCCATCTGTTCCATTTACTGTAAATGCATTGGTAAGTCCCAATGGCAGCTAAAGCATATGGCTACACATTCCGCAATCTATCTACAGGCTGCCGCAACACCGAGGAGCGACTGGCTGTGGCGACGCCGCCAAAGAAAACGGCGCTCGCCGCCAAGCGGGAACGTGCCGCTGCGCTGAGTGCCAAGGCAGCGGCAGCAGCGGCCAAGGCTGGCATCAATATCCATCTCAAGCCCGCGCCCGGTTCAGCGGCATTTGCCGGTCAGCAATTTGGCGCGGCCGCACAGCCAGCAGCTCCATCGCCGCAAATACTACAGCTGCCCGATTTGGATCTGGAGAATATAATCACATTGCCACCACCGAATGCCGCTGTTGCGGTTAAGAAGACGCAGCCAGCACAGCTCTTCACCAGCCAGCCATCAACGCCGCCCAAGGAGGTGAATGTGTGCAAACAGCCCGTGAATGTAGCGTTGCTGGAGTGCATCCTGGTGCAGGCCGCCGAGGCTGAGGAGCTTGGCCTGAACGAGGTGCAGGTGGGCAAAGTAATATTGCACGAATTTGCGCGGGGGTTGCAGGCCATTATTAAGGTCTATAATACATAAATTACATTCCATTTATTTAACAAAATAATAAAAAAAAAATATAACTTCAGCATAAATTCGCCATTCAAATATAATTTTATAACTTAATAATTAAGCTAGTTGTCATAAAACAATACAACCACATATAAATGTATATAAATCAGTTCAACCATGCATATACGTCTATGCATTATGTAAAAATACAAGCTGTACATTAAGTAGTCTATACATTAGGTTTCTACAGAATCTTAGGAATAGAATATGTACATGAGGTTTTTATAGTTATCAGGTCTCTCCAAGCGGTCCATGCAAAAATACGTTATGTTTATTAGGTTTTTATATGTGTTCGGATCTCTCTCCGTCTACCATTCAAGCGGTTGGAAGATTAGCTCCGTAGCCAGCAAATCGTAGTTACTTCTGCGCTGCCCGCCCTCTGGTGTTGTGGTTACGTGCTTGTGCCGCTCCAGCGGCAGTTCATTGTCCGTATCGCTATTGCTGTCCACCGATTCTTCGCCAGCAGCATCGTCACCGTCTTCGTTGACACGACGTCGCTTGGATCTGGGTCCCGATTTGGATTTATATTTTTGCCAGAATTGCGCCGGCTGCGCAAAGTCTGTCAAGTTGGGAAAACGCATAGCCATGGCACGGCAAAATTTATTAAACTCCCGATGCAGTTCCTGGTTCATGTAATTACGCAAATGCCGATGCGTTTCCTCCACATAGCGCAGACAGCGCTCCAGTTGCTTTAGCTGTTAAGGGATATATATATATATATATATATATATATAAAATTCTATAGACGAAGCTAAGACTCAAGACAATTACCGGCTCCTCGGCCAATTCACGTTTACGTGCGCTGCCGCGTCCACGACCCTTGCTTGTTGCTGCACTCTCGTTTGCTGGCTGCTGTTCCCTTGAAGGTGTTGCTGGTGCTGGTGGCTCTTCCTCCGCCATCACGGCATCATCGTCATTATCGCCCCCGTTCTGCTGACGTTTGCTCTTGGTGCAAAAGCATATGCGTCGCATCACAAAGAGTATGTCCATGACAACGTCCAAGGCGCCGGGTAATTTAATAAATGCCGTGTCCTTTGTTTTCTCTACAAGTTTGGTAGGTTTTATTTATTGAGGCTTTAATTATTGAGCTGATTTAGCTTACCGGCTAGCAGCTTTAGCTGTCCGAAGTACAACAGCAGCGTAGTTTCATCTAGCGCGGCGAGTATGTGATTATATAGCAGACGTCGATGTTTTTTATGCGCTGCTCCCTTTAACGGCGACTTGAAGCCGGGCTCCATGCGCGCTGAGCCGATTAGAAACGCCTGGTCGTTCAAATCGAAGGGAATCTCCTTGAGACAATGATGAAACAAGGACTTGTCGTACAATTTTTTGTAGCGCATAAAAAAGGCATCCGCTTCGCGCGCCACCTCGGCACTGTCATCCACCAGGCCCGCCAGCAGAGAGACCAAAATGGCGCCTTTCAATTTAATATTGCCCGCCAGGATAACATCCTTGACACAGCGATAGGTGCGCACACGGGTTGTGGCATATTTCGAGAACAGCTTGACTAGAATACATTTCATATTGCTTTCCAGTATTGTGGGATATTTCTTGCCCAAATCATTGAGGCCAATCAGTGTGCTATTTATCAATTGTGGCCTGTCATTGCGGCTTAGTATCTGGCCATACATTTTGGAAACTCTGTGTGCCAGTTGATTGTCCCGCAGGGAGAGCCGACCAGCAATTACAACCATCCAGTTCATGATGCGCTCGTTCTCCGTATCGAAACTGGCCTCATTCAGGCCAATGCATAATTTCACATAGCCAAGCACAAAGTTAACAATTCTCTCATCCGCAGGCTGCGGCAACATTACAATCAGCTCCGAATATGTGGCCAGAAGTGAAGCTAAGCGTATGTGATCCGCTTCAAAGTTCTCCATGCACAGCTTTGTGGCCGACATGACATCCTCGAGCAGCTTTTGTTGCCAATTCTCGACACTGACGCTATCCGCTGGGGCCTGACTATGGGACAATTGATCTATGTGATGCAATAGGAGTATCGCAGGCGAGATAAGGGCCAGCCAAATGCTGCCCGTGCTCAGAACCGAGAGCAAACGTATAAAGAGCTGATTGAGTGACGCCTTGGAAAAATTGGACAGACAGTAGCAGATCAATTGAAGTGCCAACACCTGATTAGACTTCATATTGTACGATGACAGGCCATCGAATGTTGGAATAATTGAGTCTAAATTATTTGTGATGCGACTGGATATTAAGAGGAGCAGTGTCCACGCCTCCGTTGCCATTGGTGTGTTCAAATGCGATATTATGGTATTCACCAACCTGGGACTGTAAGCAAAGTGGCATGAGAGGATTTTACTTATGAATGTTTCATTTAAGTTAAGGCTACTCACGTCACCACATTCTCGTTCTGCAGCAAAAGGGTGAGTCTTTGCTGCAAATAATCGCGCGGCTGCGATGTTAACAACGTGGTCAATATGTGCCAGGGCAGCAGATGCTTGGGTTCATTGGAAAACTCCAGAGGTTGAATGTTCATTAAGACATTGCGATTGAAGCTCTGCAAATGAGATGTTATTAAAGATATGTTGAGGTTAGTTAAGAATGCACAACTATGAAATACCATGTACCCAGGTTAGATATAGACAAAACCCACAGATGTGGCTGTCCTTCTTCTTCATTCAGCCCAACTTTGCAAAATGCATTCTCAAATACCTTCGGTGTTTATGGTCCGATCACTTTAAAATTTTCAGAACAATATAATGTCTGTATATACCAAATATCATGTCTTAATAATGCGTTTTGTTTCCAATTTTGGTAGGAGTGTTATATGAAGGACTACTCCGGGCTAATATCCGATTCAAAAGCATAAACCAATTTATCGACTAGATTAAAAATATACTCAATCTGCGTTTCGTTTAAAAGAAACACTACAAATTTAAAATCTCCAGCCCAGATGAACATGGCTAGATCGCTTCCGATGTAAATCCTGATCAAGAACATAGCTAAAAACAAATAATTCAAGTCCACGCTCTCATTACTCACATGCAACGCCAATTTCTGGAGTACAGTATCCTCATCGTTGAGCATGCATGACCATATGCGGCAATAGACATCTATGAGTATGGTGCAATTGTTGTAGCTTTGCAGGAGCGAGTCGATGGTTTCCAGCGCCGTTTTGCGCACCGATGAAAGGGCATCAGTGGCCAGCACCGACATTTCGCGCTCGAATTGTGTGTTGTAGATAATGCGCTGATTGATTTGCACCAGACGCTCCAGCAGGGCTAGGCCCGAGCAGCGCGCCAATCCATTGTTGGCGGCCATAAAACGTTCATAGATAATTTTTGGCATTTTCTTAACCTCCGGTTCCAGTTCCTCAAAGCCCTCGAAGCTGTAGGCGTACTGTAAGTCACCAGGCCTTTCGAGAGATAGCTCTATTTGTCGTGCATTTGGCTTTTGTGGCGTCTTTACATCATCGTATTGGACAAAGCTGATGACTTCGTGGAGTATGCGGGTTGTGATTGGCGAACCCTGCTTAATGGATAGACTTAGCACCTGGCTGGCCTTGCGGCGCACGCTGGAGGTCTTATCATCAAGGCAACGGATTGTCTCCGTTAAGAGCGCAACTTCTCGTGGCTCGGTGGACACATCGTAACGAAAAACTTGCCACCCCACCTGCGTCTGATGCTGCAAAATACGTTCGAAAAGCTCGAGCGTACGTATCTGTATGCCCACCGCATCTTCTGCTCTGATGGTTTCCAGTAACATCTCCGTGCAGGACTTGTTACATTTGGCATAGAGAGCTGCATCATATTTGGCCGCATAGCCAATGGCAATTTTCTCATCTCCCATTTTCCACTAGAAGCAAATAATAAAATTACTAAAGTTTTTTATTGATTTTATGCTGCATATTTGACTCACCTCCCTAATGGGATTAGTAATCACGCACTCAATGTATAACGCTAAAACGCCCGAAATTATTCCTGGATACTTGTCCAAAAGCTTGATGAACCAATCTGAAATATGCTCGCCACTTTTTGGGCCCGAACCTTTTGAATTTTCCGGATAAATGTGCATGGAAAATGTTTGACCCATTATATGCATCAAGGTCTCGTGCACATCGCCATTCTGTTCGTTGGTAATCTCATCAAACAGCTCGAAGCATTTCAAATGCAATTGGTGTGCACCTGTGAATATATATAATGAAATATTCAAATTTTTAACTGATAAAATTGGGTGGAGAACAATCGATAACACATCACGTTATCGCACATCATAAACAGTGCATGCATTCAGCTAGAGATGAGCTAATATGCCAGTCTTTAGCGGTTATTTAGCTTTTAAGCTGCGTTTAATTTGTTGTCACTTTTCAGGTTTGTTAAAAAATATTCAATGAAAATTATGTTAAGCAAAATTAAAACTTGACTTTTATCAGTAAATGCTCAATTATTGGGACATCGTATTTGATTACGTTTGCCATCGTTATCTGTAAATGTTTACCAAAAATAAGGCATTGGCATACACATATTAACAAAATATATGACATTGATGTCTTTTAAGCCAGGAGCTTAGGAAATGTATTCTGGCGTTAAGTTAGTATCGTAGCAGAGTAAGTTTTTAGGTTTTATTAAAAAATATGTACGGCTTTTTTTCCTCTAAAACTAGCTTTTGCTGCTATGGCAGCACAGCCAGAGACATTAGTATAGTGAATATCGATTGCCCTAAAATGAAATCGATATGCCATTCACAGTGACGCGCGCCGCCCATTGTCCATCTCTAGCAGTGCCCTTACGAACGACAATAACGAATTCGACTTGTGAAATATAAATATAATTTTGCGTTAATTTTGCAGCACGATGTTGGTTTTGTTGCACAAAAATGCCGGCGCTGCAGCGGCCAGCCAGGTGCGCAGCATTGCCAAACGATTGCTGACGACAACAGCAGCAGGCTCAACAACAACGACAAAAACTACACCGGCAACGGAGCACTATGATATCATAATTGGCGGAGGTGGCTTAGTGGGCACAACACTGGCCGCTGCACTGGCCAAAAATACAACACTGGCGGACAAGAAGGTGTTGCTGCTGGAGGGAGCGCCACCATTCAAGGGCTTCAATTCAAGCGGACCCTATCAAAATCGCGTTTCGGCCATCAATCGGAACTCCGTGGAGCTCTTTAAATCGATTGATGCTTGGGCACACATCGAGGCGGCACGCTACAAGCCCGTCAAGCAGATGCAGGTGTGGGAATCGAACAGTAACGCGCTTATACAATTCCAGCATGATAACTTTGCCAGCGATGTGGCCTGCATCATTGAGAATGATCTAATACTGGATGCGGTCTATGCACGCGTCCGCGATTCGGCGGATAATGTGAAGGTGCTGAATAAGGCTCGCATTGAATGTGTGCGCCTGCCCGGTGAGACTGGCACAGCCCACTCACATGTCCAGCTGCAGGATGGACGCAGCTTTTCATGCGAACTGCTCATTGGCGCCGATGGCGCAAATTCTGTGGTGCGCAAACAAATGGGCGTCGATGTTTTCTCATTTAACTATGAGCGAATGGGCTTGGTGGCCACACTGGACCTGAACATGGAGGAGGACTCCGATAATTCGGTGGCCTGGCAACGGTTTTTGCCCACCGGACCCGTTGCCCTGTTGCCGCTGAGCTCCAAGCAAAGCTCGCTGGTCTGGAGCACCACAGTGCCGCATGCCAAGCAATTGCTGGCCATGGAATCAGCTCAATTTGTGGATGCCCTAAACGAGGCATTTTGCAGGGAATATCCACGCTTGGATGTGGCGGATAAGGCGCTGCAAGCACTGAATTCCTTCTTTGGTAACAGTGGATCACAGCATCAGCGTCAGTATCCGCCGCGTGTTTGCGGCGTGCAGGATGGCTCCCGCGCCACCTTCCCACTGGGCTTTCTGCATGCCTCGTCGTATGTGTGCAATGGCGCTGCTCTTGTGGGCGATGCCGCACATCGCGTGCATCCTTTGGCTGGCCAAGGCGTCAATTTGGGCTTCAGTGATGTGCGCATTCTGGTGGAGACTTTGGCCACCGGCGCCTATGCTGGCTTCAAGCTGGGCGACACACAGCATCTGATCAAATATGAACGCAAATGCCTGGCCAAGAATGTGCCCATTATGGTGGGCGTGCATGGCCTGCATACGATCTACTCCACAGAATTTAGTCCGGTGGTGCTGCTGCGCAGTCTCGGCCTGCAGCTGACCCAAAATTTGCCGCCCATCAAGAACATTTTCATGAAGAGCGCCATGGGTTAAACGGACGGGTGCGCGGCATGTTTTATCTTTAAGTGTTTACAGTTTTACAGTCTCTGACCAATACAATAAAGGCTGTCTAAAAGGCTTACTTGAATATAAACTTCTTATTTAGAAGCTTTTGAACAGCTTCTGCAAAGGGTGTGTTATTAAGACAATAATTATTATATAATAAATCAGCTCTTCATTTAAAAGCAAGGAATTTTTTATATATGGAATATTGAAGTGGAAATCAAATTACAAACAGCAGAGCGTAAAATTTTCGCAGCTGATTTTGGTTTTAAATGGAACATTTAAACATTTATCAAGTGAATTTAGGCCTTAACGTTACAAGGCACATTTGGTACAGACTATGCTTAAAATTAAGTTACATTAATTCTAGGAATTTGGCATTGTAGAAATTCTATTTGAAAAATGCTTTTAGAGCTCCTGGTGGCTTTTGCTCACGCTCACCTGTGGCAAATTGTTGCCATGGCTGCTCTCACCAAGCTTTAGGTCCTGTTCGAGCAGATTGTTAATGTCCTCTTTGGGAAAGACTTGCTGGCGATTGCTTTTTAGCTGCGCCTCGCCGGATGTTGATGTCTGTTTGACTACTTCGACGACTTGCTGAGAGTCCTCCGTATCGGATATATAGCCCGCCTCGCCCGTATAGTGTACGGGATAGAGTAACATGGGCGCGGCGCTAAATGCAATCAGATTGCGCGGCTCGAAAGCTTCGCTCAGATTTTTCTGCGGATGCCGGCCAAACATGACGGGCAAAAACTCATCGACCGGTATGAGTTTCTCTAGGGGTTTAACCGCCAGCAGCTTTTCAGCGCCACGCAGCGTAATGACATAGGCCAGCGTCCAGTAGGAGTAGCCGACATGAACGAGACTATCGGTGCCCTCGACCCAAGGCTCGCTTTCATCCTTCAAACGCTTTCGCCCAAAGTAGATGAGGTCATAGTCAAATTTGCTGGCTTGTTGCAGCACGCGCTGTGCACTCCCCGTGAAATACGGCTCAAAGCGTATGTCATCCTCCAGGATGAGCACCTGGCGCAGCTGCCGCTGCACAATCTGCTGCCAAATGCGATAGTGACTGAGAAAGCAACCAATTTCGCCCATGGTCATGGGACGATGGTGATATGGATCCTCATAGCCGGGCAAAAAACTAATGCCCATTTCCTGCACAAGCTGTGCATTTAGCTGCTTGCCATCGACGGCTGCAAAGTGTTCCACTTGCAGACCCAGTTCAACGAACAGTTGCTCCATTTTCCGACGCCTTTCCGGCCGTCTTTGCAGATTAATCATGAATATGTTATCCAAATTGAGTTTTGTTTTCTCTGGCAACTGTAAATGGCGTTGCAGGTACGGCTGCACGGGCGGCACAGCGCCCAAATCGTACACCATGTTGACCCTTAAATTGTTCAACTGCTGCAAATCCTGCTGCAGTGTGTCCGAGGTTTCCAGGGGCTGCATCATATAGCCAAAGGGCAACTTATTGCATATATGCAGCGGCACGCCCGAATGGTTGGCGGACATGGCAAACACAATGATGTCGTCCACGGGTCCATTGTATAGCGCCACTTGCTGTGTGGATCTTTGCTGCATCTGCACCAGCCGCTGGCGGTCAAAGGTCAGATAACGTGCGCCCGCATAGTTCATGTCCACCAGCACAGCTGTGTGCACCATGGGCACAGCAAAGACGCCGACCTTATCGCCATGATAGATCTCTTTATACTCGTCGGTACGCTGATAGTAATACTCTTCGGTCATGCCGCACCAGAAATTCGAGTAGAGACTCTCCGACTGCAGCATGGGCGCCACAATGGGCAGCTGCAAGGCCGTGAGCACTTTTAGGGTCTGCGGCGCTGTCAGCAGCACATCGGCATCCAAGAAGAATATGAAATCAGCCCAAATATCGCGCGCATATTGCAGCGCCTCCTCTTTCAGGGCAATCACATGCTTGAAACGCGACACCGGCCAGTCGTAAGCAGAGCTTTCGTTCTGATAACGCGTCGTTTCGTCGTTGAAGGCATAGTTGATGCTGTGATAAAAATCGCCGGAATGTTCTAGCCACTGCTGTAGCAGTTGTATGCTATTATCGCTGCTGTGATCACAGCGTAGCCTGTATACATAGACATGATGTACTCCAAATCCTAACCGCACTTCTTGCTGTTCACTTACCAAAAGGCTATGCGCTGCTTGGGATAATCCAGCTGCTCCACATAGCTCAGGAACATGGGCAATATGTGCGCCTTGTTGCGCACGAGCAGCGTTATGAGCACCGTTGGCTGCTCATACTCCAAACCCAATGTCCAGCCGGCGCCCAGGGCGCATATTAGGAGCACTCCAAATTCTAGACGCATCTCCACGTCATGCCAAATACATTCAATTTAGTTCAAATAGGTCAAACGAACGGATGCGGCGGCTGCGGCTGCTGGACAACTGTGGAGCGTCTCTCAGTCTTTAATCTATTTATAAACTCGCTCTTTCAGCGTTCATTGAACGCGCGTCATATGTTTTAATCAGTTACTGAAAACCGATAACATATCGTTTTGAAAGTTTAACAGCTGTTTCGCTTGCAGTTATCGTCTTCAAATGTACTACACCACTTCAATTGCAGTCGTTCTCAAACTGTGAAAGACACTCGAACTATCGATAGACAATCGATTTGTGTTTTCACTTTACACTCATCGATGCAGGATGTATAAAACATTTCGTCGCGAAATAGGAAACGTTTTTAAGGAGACATCTCTGCTCCCATACAGAATATATATATATATATACATATATGATGATAATATCCATAAGTAATCACAGTTGACCTTGAGTTTAAGAGACCGTAAGGTCCCTTAACTATTTGAAATATCTCAAATATATGTATATGTGGCAACAAGTTCTTACAAATTTTCGATTTAATAGCATTGCTCTTTAAAAAGGTAAACAACAATTTATTTCATCACATCTTTACAGAAGCAGCGAATTCTATGCCTTGGCTGTGTGGGGTTTAGCGTAACTGGGAAAGTTTAGTTGCAAACCCTCCTTAGCCTCGAAGAACGTGTAGGACAGTGTAATGGTGTCACAATACTCGAGCGCCGGATCTTGCGTGATTTCTGGATCAATGTAGAAGAAGACGGGCATATCCACTTCCTCGTGAGGATTAAGCATTTGCTCTTCGAAGCAAAAGCATTGGATCTTATTGAAATATGCGCCCGCCTCAAATGGAATCACATTGTAGGTGCTAATCCCAACCACCGGCTTGTCCGTGGGATTTTTGGCTGTGTAGAAAGCGAGCGCTGTCTCACCCGGCGCCACTTTAATTTCATACTGTTGGGGCTTAAAATTCCAACGCATGGAGGAGCCAATGTCGGCATTGAAACGAATCTTCAGCACGCGATCCTTCACTTTGACCATGTGCTCCACCTTCTCGGCATCGTGACCCTCTGAGGTGGTGCCTCCATAACTGTACGCCTGGCAAAAGATGCTGTATAATGGCACAGCCGCATAGCTGAGACCCACTATGAGCACACCGCCAGCGGTTATGTAGTATAGTGTCGACTTTGCGCGTAATTTACGCGCTGCATCTGAATCGCCGCGGTTGCCGCCTAGTGTTGACTGTGGACGACATGTTCGCAGCGGAAGTTGTGATTTGTTTGCGGCGCGGCTTTGCTTCAGCAGTTGCTGGCAATGCACGCGCACTGAGCCAAATGTGCGTAGCATTTATAGCTATCTTTTACAATTTGAAATTACAATTTAATACGCGTTTTCATTCAAGAACCGTTTGTATAATCTTTGCCTCACATAAACAGCTGTCGGCCAGCTGCCAGTGTGTGCACACAATCGCCGGTTGACTAAAATCAGTGTGCACATATAGCGCAAAAATAACAAGTGATGCGCAGATTTATCAGTCACTATGAATTTCTAATAATTTCAATATTCACACTTATTCTGCATGTGTATCATATTGCATAGTGTTAAGTAAACACAATTCCAAATATAATTAAACATATTTTACACCAAACTAAATTATTGCGCCTCTGCACAATTTAAAAGGGGCTTATAAAAATGGCGGGCTAAATATACAGTTATAACAATGAAATACTCACATGAATTGTTGTAACCATGTCTAAAATTTATGTAGAGTATTTCAAAGAGACAACGCATTATGTTGTCACGTGGCTTTAGGTGATCCTTAAAGTGCACATAGCGAAATACCAGTTTCAGATCATCGCAAATAGTTAGAAACAATATCCATATATTGTTAGCCCGCGCACTGGAGTTGGCATGTTGTTCAAGCAGTCGGAATACTCGCAGACAGTGCTCTATGACAGCTTCGTCGAAAACGCCATAACTTTTGGCGCCAGGTATAGTCAGTGTTAGAAAATACGTGCTAACTGCATTGAGCGCCAGCTGCACGTTTATATTTTCATTTAAAGCCGTGGGAGCATATTCCAGTATGTCTTGGGGCAATGTTGCCAGACTGGTGAGTGCATAAATGTATGCCAAATAATCCTTTGGCGCGATTTCCTCGATGTTAGTCCAATTATCATGGGTAACGTCAAAGTTGTTTTCGGTTTCAGTGTCGGTCGAACGCAACAGTCTGATGCACTGGGATAGATCCCGTAGCGTTTGCAATTGAGTATCCTGCACTTCCAGATTCTGCCGGCACATGGGCAGTGCCCAGAATTTACTGGCCCGACGTTGTATCACCTCATCACTGTCATCATCGCATAGCCAGCCTTCCACATTGGTCCAATCGACGTTTTGTGCACACTGCGACTTCATTTCACAGAATATGCGATTCAATTCTGACATTTTAGCATAATTTTCCAATTTTCTTTAATATTCGCGTCGTTTCAATATCACAAAGCACTTACAAACTTGTTTACAATTGCAAAACTGACGGAGCATATTTATCGAGCCCTATGCGATATTCCGCGGCTATCGGTACTTATCGATATTCACAGCATCAGACAGCTGTTTATAACTGAAGCTGGGTATGCAGGTCGTGATACAAAATAGTCTAATCGGTCATTAGAAGTCTATAATGTAACTACTTATTGAATTTATAAAAACATTATTTTAATTACGGCTAAATTGTTACCCAAGTAAAGTATGCAAACACTTTGAGCTGGTAGCTTGCCTGTTTTCGCACCTACTGTGAACAGCATACATGGCCTTATCATCTGGATAGATATCATAGAAAACTGCACCCAATTTTGAGTTGGAAACTCACGTAAACATGGACGCTCTTAAGGAAGCGTCACTTGACAATGATGAAGTGCGCGAAATCTTAAAGAACACCACAGACCTGCGTCAATATTCGCGGCAAATCGAAAAAGAATTTAAGGATGTGGAGAACAGATCAATTGAGGATTATATTGCCGAATCGCAGAACATTGCCAGTCTGCACAATCAAATCAACGACTGTGACGATGTCCTGGAACGCATGGAGAACATGTTAATGAGCTTTCAGAGCGTCCTCAACAATATCAGCACCGAAATAACCCAGCTACAGCGAAAATCGGTGTCCATGTCGCTGCAATTGACCAACAGGCAGTCGGTGAAGGCACAGCTGTCGCAGTTCATCGAGGACATGGCTGTATCGGAGGAGATGATCAACATCATCATGGACACGGCGGTGACAGAGCGCGAATTTAGCACCCAACTGAACGTGCTGAATCACAAGCTGTCGCTGGTTAAGGAGCTAAGTTTCAAGGAATCCAAATCGACGAGCGATGTCAGCGATGTGTTGCACAAGCTGCGCCTCAAAGCCATGTCCAAGATACGCAGCTATCTGCTCGAACAGATCTACAAATTCCGCAAGCCCATGACCAACTACCAGATACCACAGAACGCCATGCTGAAGCATAAGTTCTTCTTCGAGTTTATACTGTCCAACGAGCGGCATGTGGCCCAGGAGATATGCAGCGAATACATCGATACCATGAGCAAAATATACTATAGTTACTTTAAAGTAAGCTTCCAGATTGTAAATAGTTCAGTATACTAATACTATTTTGCTTGCAGAGCTACTCGACACGCCTGACAAGCCTCAAGTTTGAGGAATCCTGCAGCAAGGACGATCTAATGGGCATAGAGGATAATGCTTCCAAAGGTTTGTTTGCCAAAACCACCAGCCTTAAGCATAAGAGTACAATCTTTACCATTGGCAAACGTGGGGATATACTTAATCAACAGCTGGAGGCGCCCATTATAGTGCCCCATGCGCAGCTCAAGAATCGCGTAAGCTCTGTGTATACCCTAAAGATTCTAGTCTAAATTTGCATTTATTTCTGCAGTACACGGTGGAGGCACTTTTCCGCTCCGAGCAATATGCTTTGGTTGACAACGCCTGTCGGGAGTATTTATTTGTGACTGAATTCTTTATGGTGCGTGGCACCCAAGCACAGGATTTGTTTAACCAAATCATGGGCAAAACATTGACGTTGATGATTGTATGTGTCCATAAATCTAAAGCGTATTCATGTATAGCATTTAATCGCTTCTGTTTCGCTAGAAAAATCTGGAAACATCTATACACGATTGCTATGATACGATAGCCATGTTCCTTTGCATACACCTCATCTTTCGCTATCAGCTCATGTGCCACAAGCGCTGTGTGCCTGCGCTGGATAAGTAAGTACAACATGACTTGGCCCCGGATAAGAGCTCATTAGAAAGTTAAACAGAACACCATGCCTTATCCTACATTGTTTTTGTGGGAGTAGCTCAAAAAAGTCGATGGTTTAGTTTCAGTCTATTGGTGAACGCGAACAAAAACGATAAACTACTTCTAAAATTTTTAACAAAGCAGATTTTACATATACCTTCATTTCTTTTACAGATACTGGGACTCGTTGCAGTCGGTTATTTGGCCGCGTTTGGAGCATGTTTTTCGTCTAAACATTCAGAGCATACACGACTGTGATCCGACCAAGTTCAGCAAGGAAATGGGTCCACATTATGTAAGTGGAGCAGCCCATTAATAAAGTGTATCCGTTTTTAATAGCTCTATCCTAAAGATAACGCGTCGCTATGCTGAATTTAGTGCCGCCATTGTGGGAATCTCGGAGCAGTTTCCCAATGAGCTGGTCAGCCGGCTGCTGTTGGAGCTGCAAAACGAAGTGGAATGCTTTATATTACGCATGGCGGCCATTTTCGCTACACGCAAGGATCAGCTCATTTATTTGATCAACAACTATGACCTTGTGCTGGGCGTGCTCATGGAGCATACACGTGACAACTCCAAAGAGGCTGAGGCATTCCGTGAACAGTTGAATGCTCGCAGTGCTGAGTATGTGGATGAGATCTTGGCGCCACACTTCGGAGGCATTATACAATTTGTCAAGGAGTGCGAGCCGTACCTTGAAAAGGATCAATCGGATGAGCTGCGCAAGCAGGAGCGACGCAGTCTGGGGCTGGTGGCCAGCTTCTCTGCCAACTGGAAGAAATCTCTGGAGGAACTTAATCGCGAGGTGCTTTTGTCGTTCCCATCGCTGTTGACCGGATCACAGCTGCTGCAATTGGCTTTGGCCAGTCTCGTGCAATATTATCATCGTTTCCACAAGCTATTGACGCCGAATGCGCGCGCCCAGCTGACCAATATACATGTGGTCATGGTCGAGATCAAGAAGTACAAGAGCAACTACTGAAGTGAACATTTAAAAGAACTTTAATGAACATTCCGAAATAAAAATATGAAACTAATATAAATGTTGAGGAGGCTGCCGACAATTGAGAGTATGCATATTATTCCTCATCCTCGAACATCATCTCGACCAGATCCTTGTTGGAGCAGCGCTCGCCATCCAAACGCTGTGGCGACTTCCAGCGCAGCAGTGTGGGTAGGAAAATCAGATGCGTGTTGGGGTCTTTGCGGAACGGACAGTTCAAGTCTTTCCAGCTTAAATTTAAAAACATAATCTTAATCAGTAATTCGCTCGCATTCTTTGAAGTTTACCCATATAAAGATAAAAAGAACAATCAAAAGCCACTTAGTCGATCGACTTTGCTAATTTTTTATCACGAATGTACTGGGCGTGACTACATATATGTATATACACTCATGCCTATATATGTATACTGAAAAGTTGCTGTATAATGTTGTTGAGGGCTATCGTCGCACGTTCTCATAACATTACAACAACAACTATACAAATGTACATATATATAATTAGTTTTCTATACAATAGTGTTTATTCTACCCTTGTGGGGCGTATTAGAATTTCGTCACGAAATATGTGGCACAACGGGGGTAGGTATGAATCACTGAACTAAGCGCCACGTTCAGCTTAAGACTACATATATGTATGTCGAAACGGACAGTATCGGACCACTATATCATATAGCTTCCATAGGAAGTATCATTTGATAACTAGGTCTGGTATGAAAAACTTGTTTGTTTTTCAAGCTATCTTCACCAAACTCAACAATTGCTAACTCCACTAAGCTCCTAACATATTGGCTAAATATTATCCACTTGGGATCAATATATCATATAGTTTTCATGAGAAATATTGTTAAAAAGAGATTATAATAAGAACATCTTTGTTAACTAAGATATTCTAAGCTAAACTCGGTTATTACGAGGTTTACTTAAGAAGTGAGCAAGATCTTGTCTTTATCGGACCCCTATATCATATAGCTCCAAAAGGAACAATCAGTTTAAACTGGAGTTTATATGATATTAAGTATAGAAATCTACCGCAAACACACTATGTTTCTGCCAGAGTATTCAGACTTCGGCACGCCCAAAATAACAGCTCTTACTTGTTTTTTATATACTTAGTTTTATTACTACTTACTATGAGCGCTCGCCGACATCGACATGCACAAAGTGGGAGTTCTCAGCGGCCTTCTTTAACGCATCGTGTATCACCGGCTCCGCTGTGGGCGACAAAAATAAGCACTTGGGAGTTGGGTAATTGTAATTGAGGGCATTTGGTGGTTAGCCACTAGAGACGACCGTATTACCCTTGACACAGTATGGACACCAGCTCTCGCCGTTTTCATCCTTGCCGCCGCTGAACAAAACATGCACCGGGTTATTGCCGTCACCGGTTTCGAGTTCCTCCATTTTCTTGGAGAACTCATCGTAGCCCTTGACGTTGTGTGTTACGACCATAATTTTGCTTGTTTGTAATTTATTAACACCGCCTGCGAATGTACGCTTGACGATACGACCGACTAGACTTGGTAGCGACGTGATTGCGCACTTTTTACTAACTGGTGTAGAAAGGTTACGCACTTGTTTTTATATCGTTTTAATTTTGTTGTTTTCACAAATGTAAGCCGTCTACGATTGCTTATCGATAGCAGGTCTTAAGTGATTACCAAAGTTATCGATGGTCGCAAATAAATTGTATGGTGCGTGACGTCACTACTTGCCAATAGTTTTGCTTTAAAAGAAGAAAAACCCAATTAGTCCTAATTTAATGCAATGTGATGTCACGTTAAGTATATGCTATCATATTTAGGATCTTTTAATGTAAGTGGGTAGCGAAAATTCCAGAAGTCCGAATGCCACCTCTAAGCGTATATCGATAGCCGTCACGACTTTCAGGTTTCATTATATAAAATATCGTCAAAGAACTCATCACCAGTGTCATCAAAACAGATGTTTAACTTATATATTTTTATTTGCACACGATAATTTCCGACATTATTTGATTATTGTTTTATTAATAAACATGGCACAGTCCATACTACTGCGTAGTTTTATGCTGCACAGGCAAAGGGTGCTGCTGTCCACAGCTGCGCGTCTCCGATGTCTCGCACCGCTGCATTTGAGCAGTCGTGTAGCACAGGAAGCGCGAAGTGGTCTGTAATCCCATAAAGAAAACTGCAATTAGCTAATAAGTCGTCTTTAGGTGGCTCTAGTGGTGGCGGCGCACTGCAGGAATCAAGTGGCGGCGGCAGCAATGTCTCCACAGACGTGCGTCCCATTGGCGAAAAGATCAAGGAGAACACAAAGACAGCCAGTTATACGGCCATCATCTTGGCCGGACTGGGTGTGACAGGCATCATGTTTTATGCCATTTTCCGCGAGCTTTTCTCCAAGGAGAGCTCTTGCAATATTTATTCCAAGGCCCTGGAACGAGTGGTTGAGGACCCGCGTGTACAAGATGCCATCGGTGCGCCCATTAAGGGCTTTGGCGAGACGTCGCGTCGCGGTCGTCGCCAGCATGTGGCCCACAGCAGCTTCGAGCGCAACGGTGTGCCCCACATGCGCATGCAGTTCTACGTGCAGGGACTGCGCAATAAGGCAACCGTACAGCTGGAATCGAGAAGGGTGCGTCATGTGCTTTATCTATCTATATATGTATATGTTTTTGTAATTGTTTACTATCTTTTTTTGTGCATAGAACTCGGCGGGCAAACTGGAATTTCGTTATTTGTTTGTGCAATTGGACCATTACCCACGCACCACCATCGTTCTGGAGGATAATCGCGCCTACGATCCCACGCCGGAGCGCTCCTCATCGGCATTCGGCAATTTGGCGCTCATGTCGAATAGTCGCGACAAATAGAAAATTCCCCCCAAGACATCGTCCGCGCACCGCTTAAATTCATTGTATAATTGTTATTTAATTTACACATTGACTGAAATTGTAAAATGTGTTGTCTCATTCGCCAATCGAGAAGTCGTCCATTTCGAGTATGGCGCCCGATTCGTGTCAGTAGAGCTTCTTCCACGGTATTATCTCCCAGGAGCGTATGATGTGTCGGCCGAACAGAAAATCCTTCAGCTTGTTCATCAGGTAAAACGAAATGCCAAAGAATGAGGCGAAATACAACCAGAACTGACCCAGACGCTCCCAAATGCTCAAATGATAGCGTGCCGGCAATTGCAGCACATCCAACTCCAGTTCGATATTCAGGCCGGGCTCCAAGCGCGGCGCACTGGGCCTGTAATAGGTTTCCTGCACGGCCAGCTGAAAGTAGGCTGGATTTGCCTTGACCTGAGCCAGCAGCGATTCCATCTTATATTGCGACATATCCGCCTGGCTGTTATTCGTGTCCAGCTGCACCTGGCGAAAGTGTGTTTGGATGTTGCGACCCGGAAAGGGGCAGGTGAACTCCACATATTGCTTCAGCTTCAGCTCACCCTTCAGCTGGATGCGTCCGTTTTGCAGACGCGCCGCCTGTGGCAGCTGCAGCTGATGCGCCAGCACAGCGGGCGGATTGAGGATGCACTTGTGCCGCAGCTGCGCCTCGAAGAACAGCAACAAATCAAAGTTCATCAGGCGTGCGGGCAGCTGCTGCAGTTCCAGCTGAAAGTGCAGCCGATCCGTGACCGTATCGTAATCCAAATCCTGTGTCCAATATTTGGTCGCATCGCAGCGGCTCGAATAGTTCTGCAGGCGTGCATTCAAGTTGCCAAAACTGCTGCACGCCAAAAAGGACTCTTCCAGCGATGCATTTTCCAGCTTGGCCTCCATGTTGGCCACGAATATATATTGATATTTGAACTGTACGACGGGCTGTTCATATAACACACGGGACTCGGATATGCCGGAGTAGGGACTCAGCACTGAAACCAATAAAACGGGCAGCATCACAGACAAGGCGATGAAAACGAGCACCAGCAGCGATGCCAGCGAGCAAAGCGAGTTCTTGTACACAATCGACGTGTTTGTCGTGTGCAGAGGTATGAATTTCATATTTATTATTTGATTTTCTCACTTGATTTACGGCTTGTCGTAAGCAAATTTGCACTTGTCATGTTCTGTTTTGATTAATTCAAATGGTTGCCGGGCAACCTGGCAGCCGAGTGGCGACATCTATTGTTCAATGGTGTTCATGATATCGGAGCTGGCAGCTTGTGTCAGTGGCGCAGCGTTCGTTAAGTATGCATTAGTTTCGTTAAGTGTGGAGCTCAACGGCGACCTGGCAGGCAAGTGGCGACGTCTGTTGCTCAGTAGTATTTCTAATATCAGAGCTGCCAGCTTGTGTCAGTGGAGCAACTTCGTTCGTTAAGTGTGGAACTGAAAAGGCATTTCAAAAAAGACGTTAATTTCTGCCAATCAGTTTTAAAGTTGTTTAAACAAATGATGCCTTTCAATCTTTCTCACTTGGGAAGGAAATCTCAATTGTTAGGAAATTTGCACTTGTCAAGTTCTGTGTTGAATAATTCACATTGTTAGGTTGTCCGGCAACGGCAGACGAATGGCGACATCTATTGCTTAATAGTTTTTCTATTCTCTAATATTGGAGCTGTCATCTTTTGTCAGGGACGCAGCTTTCGTTAAGTGTGCATTAGTTTCGTTAAGTGAAGAGCTGCAGAACCATTTGAAAAATATACGTTATTTCCTGCCACGCACTTTTAAATTGTTTAAACAAATGTTTTGCTAAAACAATGCCAAAAGATTGTCCGGTTGTCCGATTATGTGTGGCAGCAATCTGACGGCCTAGCTGCCACTTGCCGCCAACTGCATGCATGCTGGCAATTTGATCGCTGCGCTTTCAACACTCTTTAAAGTAAGCGCATTAAATTTAAAGCTGTAACTTCCGATTTGTATGCGTATCACATTAAAACGGTTCAAAAAAGAGGCTCAAAACCAGTTGCCGGTCATAATTATGCGCAAATGTTGGTCAAGTTATGCGTTCGAAATTTTTGATTATTTTTTGCGCATTTTTTAAAGTTCACTTTTCACTTTTTGATGTGGGCCGAGGCTGCAACTGGGGCGTCTCGTTTGGGTATCCTATAATTATGTGCAATCAATACTTTTTTTTCTGTATCGGCTTATGCTTAACTTTTTTACGGCCGGAACGGATGTGCTCCACTGAGGATCAATTGGCAACGACCCGGGTCAGCTAAATTATTGGCCAGCATTGCGTTGGCCAGTTTGCTAATAAAGCGATTGCCAGCGTTTTATTTAATGCGATTCTTAAGGCGGATGCGTGTTCTCAGCGCGCTTTCAGCTGCTATTGATTTCAAACGGGGAGCGAAATCTTTTTCCATATGGTGGCAACTCTATAAGACATTTGCTGGAGTGCATAAACAGATTATCTCCATATATAATACTGTTTGCCCTGACTGACTGACTGAATGATTGGTGATGAACATACAGCCCAATCTGTAAGAGCTAGGAATCTGAAATTTTCACTGTAGTTACCTTATGTGATGATTTTTTGTTTACCATCGGATCGGTCTCAAACTTATTTTCAAAGATCTTTGTTCAAATTTATTTGAGGTATGTTTCCCACTTCTCGAAAAATGCATTTCTTTTTGGTGAAAATGAAAGGCGCAGTTTTAAGTTTTCATATGTATTTCTGTTTGTACATACATGTATGCATGTTTGTTATGTACATATGCAAACATGCATGCATGCAAACATGTATGAATACATGTCCGGAATTTACATACACATACACACACATACTTACGTACTTACATACACATGTACACATGTACATACATACATACATACACACATGCATACATACATACATGCATGCATACATTCATATATACATACATACATACATTCATGCATACATACATACATACATATGTACATGCATGCATACATGCATACATACATACATACATACATACGAACTTATATACATATGTACAAACAAACAAACATACAAACATACATCATACATACATACATACATACATGCATGCATACATGCATACATACATACATACGAACTTACATACATATGTACAAACAAACAAACATACAAACATACATCATACATACATACATACATACATACATACATACATTCATGTGTACATACATACATGCATACTTACATACATGTATACATACACACATACATACATACATACATACATACATACATGCATGCATACATGCATACATACATACATACGAACTTACATACATATGTACAAACAAACAAACATACAAACATACATCATACATACATAAATACATATATACATACATACATACATGTGTACATACATACATGCATACATACATGTGTACATACATACATACATACATACAAACATACATACATACATACATACATACATACATACATACATACATACATACATACATATGTACACACAAACATACATACATACATACAAACATACAAACAAACATACATACAAACATACAAACATACATCCATTTCTACTTACCCGCTTCACCTCCTCCTGCCGCTCCACCGCCTCGAGTTGCTCCACCACCAATTTCAGCAGGGCCTACTTGAATTTTTGAGAATCGAGGAGGAGAGCACTTGATAAAAATTCGTTTTATTTAAATTTGCAGCACAGCGACAATTAAGCTTGGTCTGCGTTTGGTATTCGAAAACAAACATGCATGCGTACATATATACATTAATGCATCCATACACATACATACACATACCCACACACACACACATGATACACACACCCACACACACGAACAAACACATATAAAATGAAAGCTTTTATTTTATTTATTTGAACTAGTTATTGAAGTGCTGTGTAAAATTTCTTGAAATAAACCCAATTTTCTTGAGCTAGTTCTTGCAATGAACTGTCCTTTCTTTCTTAAATGAACTTTCCTTATCAAAACAAAGTAAAGTTTGCTGGCGTTCTTATACAAAATGAAAAATGGTTAAAGAAATATATTTTTTTGGAACTAGTTCTGTCAATTTAAAATGAACTCTTCTAGCAAAACAAGAAAAAAACTTTTAAAATATTATTTTTTTTCTTGAACTAGTTCAGGCAAATTTGATTGAACTGACCTGACAAAAAAGAATAAAATTTCGTTAACATGTTATACAAAAAAGTAATCTAGTATTTGCTCTAAGAACTAGTTCAGGCCAAGGAACATGTCAAAACGAACGACATAGCCATTTCACTTGAACTATTTAAGTGAACTTTCAAAGGACTAGATTACTTTACCTTCCCGCAGCTGTGACAAGGCTCAACTTGTTATTATGATATGTTTTACTATTTTTTCCAACAATATTTCTATTTTGTCATTCAATTGTCAAGTTCTTGTGTAACTTTTCTTGGTTTCTTTGTTGTTTACTTTGATAATTTAGTTTTTTGGCCGCGTGACACTTGAGCACAATTTATATATATTTCTGATATGTGAAGTTTGGTGCAAATGATGGACTCGTGGCTGATGTCAAAACTGCGAAAAAGCAGTTAAGAAATATGATGAATAAATAAATAAACCAAACAGTTTGACAGTTACATTTGCGAACTGTGTGCTGTTTGACAGTTGGACAGGGTTGCCAAGTGTGTGTGTGAGTGCATGAAATATTATTTGATTGATTCAATGTAATAACTGCAACACACACAAGCACACAGATTGAGAGCTTAACTTAGAGCAAGCGAGAAAGTAGGGATATTTTCGGCACGCCGAAGTTTGAATACCCTTGCAGACATTTGCCCTCTGTGAAGCTCGCAAATGCTGAGTTTAATACGAATTTTTTTAAAAAGAAGAATATTTTCCCATATAAGATCGATCTTTCCTTAAGCAACTATATGATAAAGTGTTCCCATCTTGATAAGGTTTTGCGTATATATGGGGATTATAATGGAATTAATAAGTCTCGAGTTTGGTCAAGTTATCTTAATATTAAGAAAGGTTTATCAGAACCAACTTTTCGAGCGATTGTTCCTATGGCAGCTATATGATATAGTAGTTCGACATTAATAAGATTTTGCATATATGTAGTAAAACTTATAAATTTATTGAGGTTGGTTATGATATGTTGATAAATAAAAAACCTGGATTTGGCGGCCTTTCCATTTTGAAAAAGTTGTTCATATAAGAACCTTCTTTTGAACCGATCGTTCCTATGGCAGCTATATTACATTGGGGTCCTATCCGGCGGGTTTCGACGTACTATATGTACTGCCTGCGACAGAAAGATGCACCAAGCTTTATAACTGAGAGACTGAGAGCAAAAACAGATATCCGGACGGACAAAGAGACGGACATGGCCATATCAAATCGGCCGTTGATGCTGATCTGGAGTATATATACTTTATGTAGTCGCAAATGTCTTCTTCTTTGCGTTACACATTGCACGACTAAATTAGAATACCCTCTACAAGGGCATAAATAAGAGTAAGTGGGCGTAAAAGAAAAGTGGGCGTTATGCAAGGAAAATCAATAGTTTTGTACAAATGCTTTCCGCACGAGTTTTTATCTGTGGCGCGCTTTTTCAAAAAAAATACAGAAAAAATATAGTATAGACAAGATGGCGAAAACACACACATAGAGAGAGAGAGACACACAGACAGGCAGGCCGGCACACCTTGACGCACATTTGGAATGCGAGGCACGCGGCCAGGACAACGCCAGCTCTGTGCCCATATATCCTTTTTCAACAAAAATTTCAGCTTTCACTTGAAGCGCGTACGTGACGCCAATTGCCGCAAAGGAGCTGTTGAAGTGGCAAATTTGGCGCGCCAAAGCCAGCAGCAGCTGGGAACAGGTGTTGCTCCCCCCCCCCCCCCCCCCCCCCTCTCACTCTCTCTCTCTCTCTCTCTCCCTCTCTGTGTGTGTGTGGCAAAAAGTAGCAGTTTATTAGGCGCACCAAATTAACATAGGACTACTAATGTCCTTTCCGCCCAGAACGCATTCCGTGGACGCGTTTCATTAGAGTGCGGCGAGCTTTTTCTTCCTTTTTTTTTGGTTTTCTAAAATTAGAACGCCTGCGCGAATTTATTTGATTTTTTTTTTGTAGTTGTTTCTACCCCCTTTGACTGGATGCTGGAAAATGAGGGGAAATATTGTGCGTCCATTGTGGCGGCTGTGTGTTTTTTTTTCTTTCACATTTACTTAGCAGCTGGTTTCCCCGAGGAAATCAAAGAAAAAACGTTGCTTTAATATTTATATAAAGTTCCCATGCTTGGCTTATATAGAGCACATATATATGTTATATTCCCCTTACAATACTCAAGCG